CATCATTCCCCTCCACAGTGCCCACGTTCCGCATTTCCTCCATGTAGCAGGCATTGGTCCCTGTCCCTGCGGGCCCAGTGCTGGTGTCACCCCCACCACGGCTCTGCAGAGCTGCTTGGCACCCTGCGGCCATGCCACATGGGCTGGGGTGGTGATGAGGGGATGGGAGACCCCTGAGTGCAGCAGTGCTCCTCACCTACAATGAGGCCGATTTCACATTTAGGGTCGTCATAGCCGCAGGACATCATGGTTCCCACTGTGTCGTTGACCACAGCTACCACATTCAGAGCAAAGTTCTGCCAAACCAGAGATGGGGACGTATGTGGCTTAGTGGCACTGCCTGGGTGCAGGGTGACACCCTGGGGACAGACAACTGTACCCAAGCCCTTCCCTACCTCTTTGCGCTGGGCAGCATCCCGCAGCAGCTGGACCACATCCTGTCCCACACAGCCTGAGGCGTTGAAGCCTTTGGTCCAGTTCAGCAGCACTGCCTGCAAGGGAGGTAGGAGCAGAGGCTGGGCAGCTGCCTTGCACCCTGGGGCCCTCCCCATCCTCAGGGTCTGGAGCCATCCCCTCACCTTATCCAAGCCCAGCTGCTGGCAGGGGAAGGAGAAGGTGAAGCCAAGTGGCAGGATCTGCTCTGTCAGGTCCTGCTTCAGCTGGAAGTCCATGATGCACTCAATGATGTGGTTGAAGAGCTGTGGAGAGGAAACATGGTCAGCAGGGCCCAGGCTGGGGTGATGCCGCAGGGGCTCTCCCAGCCCCACCCCAGGCCCATGGGCAGTGAGGGGGGAGGCAATTCCCATCCCCTCTCCCTCTCCTTCGGCACAGATTCTCAGCCTCACCGCCACACCAGTGCCCTGTACGATGGAGGTTGGGATGACATAGATCTCGCTGGCCATGCGGATGCTGTCTTCCGCCACACGCACCACCAGCACCCGGAAGTTGGTTCCCCCCAGATCCAGCGCCAGGAATTCACCTCGCTCTGCAGGGCACCAGCACGGGGCATCAGCAGGGCCACAGCCACCTTGCACCCCCTTCCCCAGGCCCCCAGCCCTCACCGGTGCCATCAGGCGTGGCACGGACATAGGTGGGCAGCATGCGGACGGAGGATCTGGCATTGGTCTCCTTGCCCAGCCCCAGGTCCATCTCCTCCCTCATGAGCGCCTGGACACGCTGCAGGTCAGAGTGGCTGAGCCGCAGTGGGGACAGCAGGCGATCCACCTCCCGGCGCTGCTCCGCCAGGCGCAGAGCCACTGCTGTCACGATGGCTGCCCCGCGCCCGGTCCCATCCACTGAGGGCAGGAGGGTGATCGTGCACTCCGGGGCCAGCAGCCCTGTCACGCTCTGCAGGATCTCCCCAAACCTGCCAGAGGAAGAAGAGCATGGCAAAGGCCGGGTGTGAAGCACCCCACCGGGGTGGGAGCCCCGTGACCCTCCTCACCTGGTGTGGTCCCGGTACAACTCGCCATCCACCCCAATGTTGACGGAGAGCTGCTCCAGCTCCCGGCTCTGGCACATGTGTGTGAGGATGGCAGCCAGCCCTGCGGCACAGAGCGCGGCAGAGCGGCTCACCACCACTCGGCAGACCTGCTGCACCCGGCAGCAATCCCGCTCGTTCGGCTGCAGTCCCAGAGTCTCCAGCGTGCTCCTTGTCTTGGCCATGCCATCCTCGTGGCTGCAAGGGAGGACACCGTGCTGGTTATGTCCTCCCCATCACCCGCCTCACCTCCCAGCCAGAGCAGCTCCTGGTCCCCAGACACTCACTTGATGATCTCCAGGACCTGATGGGTCTTGAGCACATTCTTGTTCCTCAGGATGCCAGTATTGCTCCCCGTGAAGATCGCTTTCTCAGCAGCCAGGGTGATCAGCACGTGCCGGACGATCTCCCCCAGATAGAGGCTGCTCACCAGCTTCTCAAATCTGTGTGCAGCCAGCATGGGGGTCAGTTGTGCCCCACCTGGCACCTCTTGGCCCCTTGAAAGCATGTAGGAGCAGCGCAGGGAGCCATGTGCTCCTGTTAGTGGGGCCTGATTTGCCCAGGGGTGGACAAGGAGCCCTGGGGACCCTGCCCTCACTGGGGGGTGGGAGCACCTCTTCTTCCCAGGGTTGGAGGATTCCTTGTCCACGCGTTGGTCATAGGTGGTCACGATGCCACTTAGGGTGGTATCGTCCCCGAAGCAGCCCCACTCGGTGTTGATGCACATCCTGCCGCTGGTCTCCTCCACCATCTCGACCAGTTGTGCCTCAGCCATGAAACAGCTGTTGGTGCCCACGTCTGTGGGGGGTGGTGGGTGTGAGCACTGGTGCACTCCCTCCCCCAGTACCACCTCCTGGCATGGGGGATGCCCACTGCTCACCTACAATGATGGCAACCTCACAGGCCTTATCATCCTTGCTGGAGGTCATCATGGTGCCCACGGTATCGTTCATCAGAGCAACAACATCCACATAGAGCTGGCCAGGAGCAAAGAGAGAGCATCATTAGCCCCTCCATGGGGGCAGCTCCCAGCCAGGCCCCCTCACCTCGTGGCCCCCCCACCTCTTCCTTGTTGATGGCTGACTGCAGCAACTGCACAACGTCCTTCCCCTCCACATCAGTGCACTTGAAGCCCTTGGACCAGGAGATGAGTTCTGCCTGTGGGGAGCACATGGCTGAGCTGTTGGCCTCCAGCACCACTGATGTGCTGGGCATAAGGTGGCCGCAGACCCAGGTCAGGGTTATCCCACCCACCTTGTCCAGCCGCGTCTGCTTGCAGCTGAAGGGGAAGACAAAGCCCAAGGGGAAGCGACGCTGGAGGCTGCTGAGGCCAGCCAGGAACTGGTGCAAGCATTTTGCAATGAAGCCAAAGAGCTGCAAAGGCATGGCCGGGGGTGACAGGCTGCACCCCTTACCCAGCACCCACCCTGTGGGAGGCAGTCCCGGACCCCTGCCGAGCCGCCATGGTGCTGGGCAGCCCATCACCAGCCACCCTGTGCCATGGCCTCCTCATACCGCTTCCCCCTTGCCCTGCGTGATGTTCATCGGTATGTCAAAGATCTTGTACATCACTTGAGGTCTCTGGTTCCCGTCACCCAAAAGGGTTACACAGAGGGTCCGGACGTAGTTCTGGCACAGCTCCACCACCAGCAAGTCACCCTTCTCTATGGGGGAGCAGAGGTGGTGTCAGGCAGAGACCTTTGCTGGGGCAGATCCCCTATAATCTGCCCCTTAACCTGTCCCAGGGACAGTCTCCCATCCATGGGGGAGGCTCCTGAGAGCCTGAGACAATCACAGGAGACAAGAGAACCAGCTCCTGGCCTCTGGTCCTGCACCAGGGACTGGCAGAGGCAGTGCAAGGGCAGTGCATGGACCAGACACCAGTGCACCCCTCCCCAGCACCCCAAGGCCAAGTCCCAGGAGGCATGCGGGGCTGTAGGTAGCAAAGCGGCCCATCGCCAGGACTGGCTGCCTTACCGGTGCCATCGGGCATGGAGCAGATGAAGGTGGGCAGCATCTGCATGGTGGCCTGCGCATGCATCTGGCGGCTCAGCCCCTTGCGCATGTCCTGCATCATGTGGCCCTTCAGCACCTGCAGCGTCTCCAGCGGGACGGTGAGTGCCCGCAGGGCTTTCTGTACCTGGGGACAATGAGCCTGGACCTTAGGGCAGGTCTGAAGGGCAGGGGATGCCTCTTGCAGGGTGCGAGGCAGGGATGTGCCTTACCGGGGAGCCGGCAGAATTGCTTCGCTGGCCCGGCTGTTGGCTCAGTGAGGGCCTGTGTGGAGGGAGCTGGTGTCAAACGCGGATCCCCAGCCCGCAGGGGAACAGGGCTCCGGCCTGCCCAGTCCCGAGCAGGGTTTTGGGGCCCATCCCCGACTCTGCCTCCCACTTCGCCTCTGCAGGGTCACAGCCTCAGCAGCATCGTGGCTTTGCAGTGTCTATCGCGACTGTGACCCGGCAGTCGGAGGTAGAGGAGGCAGCGGCGCCCCATGACGCCGATGGGGGCCAGGGGATTAAAGGGGCTGCCCCTGCCTCACCCTGCCCGCCTGTCTGCTCAACCTGCGGGAGGCCGGAGGCTGGTCTGTGCCCCGCCCGGAGGGCAGAAGGGGAGCCTGCTGAGCCCCATCCCCGGCCCCGAACGCGGCTTCCCCACTCCCAGCGTCGCTCGGCCGCCGGCGGGCCGGAGCCCCTCACCGGTGCACGGGCAGTCTGCCTCGGTCCATCGAGCCCAAGGCCCGCCGCGGGAGGCTGCGCGCAGCGGCGCTAGCGGTGCTCTGCTCCTGGGAGCTCCAGGGCGCCCTGCCCGTAGCGCCGCGCCGCTCCGGGCTGCCCATGGCGGACGGCCGGTGGCAGAGGCCCGGCGGTACCGTTGCCAACGCCGCCGCCGTTGCCCTGGCGACAGGAACGGCACCCTCGGGCGCCCCTGCCCGCCATTGGCCGGCCCGCCGAGCCGCTCGCCCCGCCGTGGACAACGGGCGAACCCCCCCCGCCCCACGCCGCACGGGCCGGTCCCGCTCCCCGCGGCAGCGCCTCGGCTGCCGTCAGCGCCGAGTTCGGATCCCAGCTTTAATTGGCCCCGCGTTAATTAAGCGGCGCAATAAGGAGACATCCACGCGGTTCCTAGCAAGGGGCTCTACAGCAGGGCGACAGTGCTCCTGGGGAACGGGGGACAACACAGCCCAGCCCAGGCTCCTCCATCCTCCCCCCCAGGCAGCGGGCTCCGGGCACACGGCAGCCAGGGAAGCCACCAAGGACACAGGGACATCGCTGTCACACTGGTCTCCACATCCGCTGGCTGCAGCAGGCAGCTGACACGGAGGTGTCCTTTCCCCACAGTGCCCGTCCCCACAGAGCTGGGCACTGTAGCCCCTGCTCAGGAGGCCCCTGGGCTCACAGCATCCCCCCAGAGCCCAGGGACAGGCTGTGGAAGCGTGAATTTGGATGCACAGTGTGCCGTTCCTCCTCTCCTCCCTTCAGTGCCTCCCGTTTCCCCAGAGAAAGACAGCACAGCTCCCCGGTGTTGCTGCAGTTTCATAAAAACATACATAAATATATTTCCATTTCTTTAACAGAGAGCAAAGCTGCACAGGCACCTATAAAACACAGTCACGGCTCCACCCAGCGCTCCCTGCACAGGTCGTACAAAACATAGAAAAGGGGGGGGGGGAGAACGGGGCTGCGCTAGAACAGGGGCACGGTGCCATGGAGGGGATCTGCTGCCCATGGCAGCCTCAGAACTTGTGCTTCCTCCGCCGGCAGCCTTTGGTCTGCTGCTGGCTGCCCAGGCAAAGAGCCGCGTGCGGCTCCAAGTCTACAACGCAGTCTGTGGCTTCTGAGGAGATGCTGGGTTTCACAGGGGAGATGGTGAAGGGAAGGTGCTGAAGGGAGGTGGGGCTGTTCCCCACCGGCCCCCTGGCTCTGGCTGGGCGAGCAGGAGGGGACTGTTGGTCTCCTAGTCCAGAGAGGGGGGTCCCCGCATCAGCACCTGCAACAAGAGCACAAGTCAGTCCTGCCTGGCTGCCCTTTGTCGTGAGCCATGAGCAAGGGAGGAGGGTGCTGCTGAGAGCATTTCTCCCTGCTCCTCTCCTCTTGTGCTTGGATCCATGGAGGGAAGCATGAGTGTGCAGGCAGGGACAGCAGCACCCTGCCACCCCCTCAGGAAGCTGGACATCTCTTGGTGCAATGGCTCTGAGCACACCCTTAGCCCTGCGAAGGCTCTGGGTCGTGGCACCGGTCCAGTGGGCAGAGGCAGGGATGTGCGCAGCCAGCTGGGTGCTGCTGACAACCAGCTAAGCCCCAGCCTCATGCTCTGCTCAGGAATTACAGACCCCTTCAAAAGGAATTTGCTGTCACAGCACAGTCCAGGCTGAGTGGGACCTAACAGGGAGAGCTGGGAAAGAGAAGCTCTGAGCCAGCCAGGCACAGAGAGCAGCTTCCCACCTGCAGACTTGCTCTCTGAGAGCTCCAGCATCCTGAGGAGTCCCCTCTCCTGTCTTCCAACATCCTGGCAAGGAGAAAGAAACACAGTCACATAGTGCTGCCACAAGGGAACCCCAAAGACAGGGTAGCCCCATGCTCCCCCAGTCCATGGGGTCCAGCTGGGTACAAGAGGGAATGCTGCATTTCCAGGGCTTCCAGCTGAGCACAGCTAGTCACCAACGGGAAGGGCACTGCCCCATTCTCAGCCTGCCCGGTTCCTGATCAAAGGCAACCAAAGGCAGATAATAAAGCAGAGCATGGTAAGGAGGGAGGCTGGGGTGCAGGAAGCCACCCCCAAGCCCAGCCAGTGAGCACAGGGCTGTCACAGGAATGTGAGCACCAGGGGCTCTGCCATGGTTCGGGCACATCCGCAGCACTGCACTCCAAGGCTCCATCCTGCTCCGTCCAAGCCCCGAGTGCATAGGGGCTTGGTGCTGGAGGAAAAGGCCTTTCTACAGGGAACAGCCAGAAGAGGAACACACATCTTGTGCTCCCTCTCTCAGCCCCTGGCAAGATGCAGCTGCTCTGGTCATGCAGGCTAAGACAAGACCGCTTGGCCTGGCTGCTCCCTGACTCTAGCAATGCTCTAGAAGGTACTGGCATCCTGGCTGCAGGGTTGGGGCTGCAAAGCACCCCAAAATGTGCTGTGGCAGGAACCTGCAAGGCCAGCAATGCCACTAGGAAGCTTTCTAACAGCTCAGCCCATGCCCAGCATGACCTGCTCCCCTGGTGACCTGCCACCTTGGGACAGACCCTTGCTGAGCTGTCCCAAATGGCCACCCAGCTCCAGCACCTTCCCCCATACCCTGTGCCTGTGCCTATGTACAGGACCCTACACAGCAGTTGGCTGTGGGGCACAGGGACAGAGCCAAACACCCCCCCACAGAGCTGGTCACATGCAGGAGCAGCCGTGCCCTGCAGTACTCTGAACCACAGCACTTGGCTGTATCCCAGCCAAAATCATCCACCAGAAATCTCATCATTTGCATCTGAATCCCCAGAGGGCTGAGGCCTGTGATGGATTTAAGGGATTATATGAAACTAAGACATCATGTTGCATCTTCATGCTGAGAATCACATTTCTGAGCGCAGGCAAAGCTGTGGCATTGGGGCTTTGCCCGCAGGAACCAGCAGGAAGGCTTGGAAGGACCCCCTCTGCGCTCCATTGGGATCACCAAAGTGGAACAACACGGTGGGGACCAACACCTGATGACTGCCCATAAACAAGCTGCTACCCATACTCCTGCCTCCCACCTCCTCTAGAGAGGCACGTCCCACACACCTCCACGTCTCCCCTGGGATGCTACAGTTTGCTCTCAGCACCGAGTGGTTCCCCTTGCTCTGGCTCTGAAGCCTTCCCCATGGGAAAGGGCTTGTGGATCAAGCCAGATAGGCTTGTCACCCTGACACTGCCCTCCATCTATATTCAGATGAGGAAGCCTGCAAGACTGAGGCGTGCTGTCTGGCAGCGGGACAGTGCTGGCTGTCTGCCTGCTGGAGAGGTTACTGGCAGCTCTGCTGGATTAGCTCACCCCTGGGACAGCTCCATGCTCTCACAGAGTGTCGTGGGAAGGAGGGCAACGAGTTGTCTGGCCACAGCAGCCCGCAGAGATAGGCAATCCTACACCAGGTCGGCTCATCCCATCAACCAGGGAAACAGCTTCTGCTGCCAACCCAGCCCCAAACCCAGCGCAAAGCAAAGGAGATGGTCTGCAGGGTTGCCCCTCACCTTGGCTCTTCGCAGCCTCCTGGTTCCCTGAGCTTGCCTAGCAGCCTGAAGGCAGCTGTCCACATGCCTCTGATACTGCAGCAGTGGCACCAGTGACTTACAGAGGTAGCACTTCTCACACCTGCCAGGCAGCAAAGGACAGAGCACCACATTAGGATTCACCCTGCACTGGGCTCCCAGCCACCAGCAGTGACTTTCCTCCTCCAGGCCACACCACAGAGAAGACATGTCACCAGATCAAGCCTTGCTCAGTGGGGTCAGGCCAGCACCAATCGCAAAGACTGAGTGATTATCAGTTTTCCCTGCCTGTTCCTCTGTATCCTGCTGCTGCAGCAGCGGGACAGTAATCAAATCTGCTCATCTAACTATCTCAAACACCGCTGATTTCTCCCCAGACATAAAGCACCCTGTCAAAATCCACAGAAATGAAGTGCAAGGGCTTTGCAAAGGGGAGTTAAATTCTGCCTGAAAAGCAAACCAAGTGTGTTAAATCAGAGAGACATTTTACCAGGGCTGGATGAACTTGTCTGACTAGTAAATCAAGTCTTTCTCTGCACTGTCTCCATTTTACATCATGCCACGCTGGGAGAGGAATGCAGAGCACTCGCTCCTGCTGGGGGGCTGGCACAGTGTGCTCCTCAAACCCATTCATTTGTGTAGAAGAGCCCAAGCTCATGCAGGACATCCCTGTCCCCCCTTCCCAAGTGTGCCTGGGAACAGAATTATCCTGGCTGAAAGGAGGTGAGGCTCAGGCACGGGTTTACACACCTACACTCGATTCCACACTGGCTGTCGGCAGGGACTGAACCATGCAGGAGGGCACTGGCTCTTCAGGAAGGGAGTATCCAGCCACGGAGCTATTCAGGAATGGACCATCTCCAAGAAGAGACAAATCCCCAGGGACCAGCCCCAGCAGCACTGTGTTCAGTTTGATGAGCAGTGCTCTCATAGTAAAACTCACCCCAGGCTCTAAAACGCTTTTGGAGAGCCCCCATCAAGCAAAACTCTGCAGTACTTTTCCTGTATTTTCTTTCCAGTCAGTGCTGATTACCCAGATAATGTGTCTAAACAGAAGCTGTCCTCTCTATAATTAGCCTAATTCCATTAGTGATGTTGCCATCCACTGTTTGTAACAGCAAAATTGCTTCCATAGCAGGGATTTTACTGTCAGATCCTCTCTTATGATGCTTTGTGTGGGTGGCAGGAGGAGGGGCTGCATGGAAAGACATTAAACAAAGCCACTGCTATTCTGAAAGTCTAATTTAATTAAGAATATCACTACAGGTGCCATATTGACAGCCTCCCTGTCCTAGCCCCTTCTTATCCCAGGGTTACCAAGCTCAAATCTCCTATTAGAAACTGGCTGAGTTAGCACCATTTTAGCTACACAGCTCCCTCCAACCATGGCCAGAGACCATGTACCCCTGACCCGCCATGGATTGGGCTGAAGGGAAATCAGTGCAAAAATAAACAATCTGAGAACAGCAAATTCCTCTTGCTTCGGTTTAAATATAGCCACACTACAACAGAGGCAATGAGGGAAGGCAATTTCTTAGGGAAACATTGCTGTTTCCAATGGCCAGCATTTCTACAGGAATAAAGACATCCACAGGCAAGCTAGAATGGAAGCACAGAAACAATCTTGGAGAGGCAAGCATACCTACTTACTTGTCAATGTCTAAGGATGACTGGCCGCTGTCACTGCTGGCTGCTTTACTTCTTGCTTCTCTCTGACGCCGGGTGAGCACTGGAAGAGACAGGAAGGGTTGGTTACCTGCCATCCACCCCAAAAGCACCCCTACACCATGCCTGAATGCAACAAGTTTCAATCACTTCCACTCAAAGCTGCAGTAGAAGTGATGGTAGAGGCAAAGAAATACTGCACTGGGACAGGCAGGGTCCTTTCCCTGCAGAAGAGGTAGCTGGCCAATTCTCCCTTTTCCAAGGGGGATACTGCAGAAGTATCCCCCCATACTTCTTCCCGGGAGCCAGGAGCCATTTCACACTGTAACTTGTCTTCTGGCAGAAGCAGCTGGATCAACAATATGTAGTTTACAGTCATTTTAAAGCTGACTGCAGCAGTGCAACAGCCTGGGAGGAGAGCTACACAGCTGCTCCAGCAGCACAGCCCTGGCCCTGCCGAACTGAGCACCCTGCCTGCTGCAGGAGGGAGCGTGGTAACTGGCAGCTAGGTAAGGAGAGCTGAGAGGGGCTGTGCAGAGGCTCAAGACCCTTCTGAAGGTGTGGTAGGAAGAGCTCATGCTGGAAAGGGAAGGTTACAACAATCAGCCTGCACTCACCCATGTGAACTGGGGGTGATCTATTGTCTGTGTAGAGCTCTGTGGGGGCTCTGAGTGAAGATCTCTACCAGGGCTAAGCATCAGCAGTGCTCCAGCACAGCTGCTCCAGCACGTGGCTGGCTAGCAAGATCCTGGCTGACCAGCATGATGATGGGACCAACAATTTGTTCCTTCAGCAAGCCCCAGCAGCCTTCCCAAACCTGCTCTTCAGGCATCTGCAGGGAGCATGCCAGAGTGTTCTCTTTCAGTTGAATTCCTCTCAGCATATTCCTGTTGACATGCCACCAGCAAAGCTCCTCAGGGAACATATCAGATAGCTTAGCCTGCCTCGCCAGGGATGTTCAGAACTCCAGCTCCAAAACAGCTGCCACAGTAAGTACTCTTGGGCAAACTGGCTAAGGGGACAATGCAGGGAGCTATTTTACAGCCCAGTAACATTGCTTCCCATACTCTCATTAGGAGAAAGGTCTGAACTGAAGGTATAAGCATGACAAACCTCTTATTGTTGGCAAATCATCTGTCATAAAGGGAAACACAAGATTTTGCAGAGAACAAAGGAGATCCTTCAGAGTTTTAGGAAAACCTCACTTCTAGAGTTAGACAATCCTAATATCTATCCATGATGCTGATACAACATGGCCTATCCCTTAGGAGCAATCACTGATCTGCAGCCACAACGAGCAAATGCACTGCAAGATGCTCAGGAGCTGTTGGGGCTGATGAGAGACATCCACGCTGAAGAACAAAGCTCGAGGGTTTCCTTGAACGTTGGTATTGTCTTGTAGGCGATGACCAATACCAACAGCTCATTTCTCGCAGGCACTGAGGCGGACATTTCTCTTTGACTTGGCCTGGCCCAGATTCGAAGTGGCAGCCTGACATGGAGGACTGATAACAGCAGCCACCCCCCAGGCCACTCCAGCCTCCCAACAGCCCAACTCATATGTGCGTTTGACAGCGTGGTGAGAGCCGTTCTCCAAATCAGCATGCACTTGTTAATGTTCGTTTAACACTGCCTCGGGAGCCTCATGCACCAGCTCAGGTGCTAATCAGTTCTAGCTCCTTCCAAAAGCAGTGAACACATCTGACATAATGGCCCCATCAGAGATATCTGGGCCCAGCTTTGCATCTACCCATGGGAAGCCCCCCAGCTGTGCTGCTGGAAGCAGAGGCATAGGAGAGAGAACAGGGCTGGCTGGTGAGGCACAACCCCTCACAAAACATGGTGCTCACCTGCAGAAAGAGTCTTCAGAACACTGGAGAAGACATGCCATGGGGAAAATCCCCACCACAGAGCGGTGCTGACCCAGTGTGTGACAGAAGCCTTGTAACTCTCCCAGGTGCAATGCTCTTTGCTGGGTCAAACACACTCTGTAGCTCAAGAACAACCTGCTCCCTGGCTTGGCACTTTTGGCTGACCCACCAGGCTCCTCCTCACTGTCACCACCAGCCGTTCCACTTTCTGTGCAGGATTCTACCACAGACAGGCCCACCGGCATCTTGTCCCTTCTCAGAAGTGATGAAGCTTTCTTCTGCATCCCTTCTGTTACTCTTTCTGCTGCGTCAGTGCCACTTCTATTGATGTCAGGAGCTTTTCAACAGCACCAGTGCTGCTGCTGAAGACTGACATCAGGTTGCACTTGAGGCTTTGGGAGGAAGGGATATACCAAATGCTCATTTTCCTGGGATCACTTGGGAACTAAGAGGTTGGAGCATGTAGATGAAGGGCAAGAGGAACAGAGCATGTCACAAAGCTCAAGACCATTTGCTGTACTCAGTATCAGCCAAGACTCACTTCCAGACTGAGACCAGCAGACTCCTGCTTGGCAGCAGCAGGAGATGCAGTGACTCCAGCACTCCCATGTCACACAAGCGAACTCTTCAGTAAGTGCATGCAGGAAGAGTGAGCTGGCACAGTGCTTCCATGGCTCCACTCCTTCACTTGGAATTAGCACCAGTCACTGAGCTGGAAACCTGTGACCCGAACCTCCCCTAGCCTGGTACAACAGCAACAGCAGGCTCCTCTTTGTTGTTTACTCAGACCACAGGAAAATGGAAATTCATGAGCAGATTTTCATCCTGCCCAGGTATGTGGTGTTCTGGGCATCTGGCCAGGGCAACCATGTACATATGTGAGGGAAACAGCTCCTAATCTTGCCCAGCTACCTCATTTGAAAACCTGTCCTTAAATATCAGCCAGGCTGAGCTGGCCTCCTGATAGGTAACACTGAAAGACTTTGGTGCATGATTACAAGAAGGATGAAGAGAAGTAAAACCAGCAAGGACCCACCCTTTTGTAACCATAAAACGAAGCCCACTGACAGCTGTAGTCTGCAGGACTGCATAATCTGCAGTTCTAGAGACATCAGGAATAAATCCAATTAGTAAGTCCAAAGACAGACCAGGCACCCCTGACTCAGTGCACCAAAGACAAACTGAAGCCGTCTTTTCTTAACAGATCAGGACATGGCTTAGAGGGCAGAACTTTGATTCTTCTCTCACACAAGGCTGTTGCTGTGCTCTCAAGACACCAGCAGCCAGCCAAGAGCACGCAGCGCTGCAGCAGTAGAGAACAGCTTCTGGACCCACACAGGCGCTGGCATTTGCTTCAGAAGACAACTCTCCCACCTCTTTTTTTCTCCCCATGCATTAGATTTTCCTATGGATTTTGTGCTAGTGATGGATGCCAAGGTAACAGCAGTGGAAGCAGAGTCCTTTTGTACCTGCACAGCTGTGCCAAGCTACTCTCTGGCCTCTGCACAGAGCTGAACATCAACCCTGCCTATTGAACTCAAACCCCACTGACCAGCCCATCAGCTGAGACCTCTTTGCGTGACTGTTGCCTTTGTACAGGCACTTGGAACTGGAGCCAGGTGCCCCACAAGCTAGGCAGGATTGTGACCCACATTACGTCCTGCTCCAGGTCCAGGAAGCCAATTGTCCTGCAGACAGCCTTAGTGCAAACAGCACTGGCATCACAGACTGTTATGGCTAATAAAGCCTGGTGTCTACAGAGAAAAAACTAGAATAACTGGCAATAGAAAACCCAAATTACTGTGATTTTGTCCCCAGACCATCACTCTGCTTAGAGCCATTGCTGCAGACCAAAATCTCTTTTAGTTCAGGCTGGTTTTCTTATGGGTAGACTGTTCTGTACAAGCCAGAACAGCAGAGTAGCAATTCCAAATTAACTACCCTTACAAACATCCCCAAGGAGACCAGTCTGGAAGCAGAGTGGAAAGGCCAGCCTTGAACTCTGTCCTGTGGAACACCAGCACCAAAGGAAAGAACAAATTTCCTCACACTGCCACAGAATTCAAAGCCTTTTCCTGATCACAGTGAGGATTCCCCAGGATCAATGGATATACTCACAGTCCAACCACACCAGGGACCCGATTATCACAGGGCCAAAGACATCCCTGCTAAAAGGCACACTAAAAATTCAGCTCCATTTTCTAGCACAGATAAAACCTTTATCAGTGTTGAGGATGGGAGAGGAACTGTGATAATTTGTGATCTGCTGGAGCTGAACACTTGCATTAGCAGCTGGTTTGTGCCTGCAGAGAGAACTCCCCACCAAAACTAAGCACCAAGCAATATCAGCCACAGCTCTGGCTCCTGTTATCTTGACAGGACCTATGTCATATCCCAACAGATTTAGTATAACAGGAACCTCGTATTTTAAAACTACATCAACTCTGCATTAAGATTACATGGTGAAACTTCTTCCTCCTAGAGGAAAGCAGAAGTTACAGCTCTTGTACTAACTCTGATTTGCTCAAATTGCTTAAACATCACAGATTAAGGTTGCATTTAATAACCCAGTGTGTAACTGAAAATTATATATTCACAACCTAAAAAGTTAATCTTATTACAAGCTATTACTTCGATATTACGTGACATTGTGCTAACACAGACTTTACATTTCAAGCAGCAGCTAAAACATAACTTACTGAGTATGCTGATAACCAACCGGTGTTGTTTGTTCACTTAAGCTCTACAAAGGTTGGCTATGGAAAACTGATACAGAGAAGACTGAAGAGGATTAATATAGGCATTCTGACTGTGCTTCTATGCCTCACTTCACATGAAGGAGAAAAATCCAAGCTCCCAGATCGATAGCTATCATTCTGCAATTTTAGAGGAACAAGAGGGAAACTTTTCTGTAATCTCTTGCAGCTGAACAAGACATTTTTGCACATACAAATGCCAGACTCGCTGCAGAGCACAGGCCGTGCTTGGAGTGGCACAAAACACTCTCCTTTCTCAAGAACCCTGGAGGATGCTCACCCATGTGGCTCAGGAGCTGCCATTTTCTACCACTGGCAGATTCTCTGCAGGTCCTCAACAGAACAGACAATAGATATGTTCTATGACATCTATCCTACTGCCTGAAGCATCCAGGGCTGGAACCTGTGGTTATATTCTGTTTGTACACTTTCCAAGGGACTAATAATGTCATGAATTATGAAGTCAACCAGAGAGAAGATGTCCCTGTGCAGGAGACACTGGAAACACAAGAACCTCTTTTAACACTCTCCTGGCCAGCCTGGAGATGGAACAAGCCAGAGTGAACAACCTCCCTCCATGCCAGGCCATGCACCAAACATCCCGAGAGGCACAAGACTGAAGCATCGGGCTGCAAGTAACAGGGAAGTGGACAAACACAAAGAGCAACTCTCTTGGCAGACCTGGGCTGTCCTTGCCAGCCTCCTGTCCCATGACACCGTTGCAGTACATGGCATGCGGCTCGATCTCTGCAGAGGGAAAGCCTTGATCGCAGATGGGGCACAACACATGGTCAGCAGTGGTAGGACTGCGCTCAGCCACCGCCTTGTCAGTGTCTTCATCTCCACCAGCCTAAAGAAGAAATAATTAGGCAGACAGTTAATTGTGCCATTTCTCTTTCTTTTCCCCAGCTGCAGAGCTCCATGCTGTCTGGGAGTCACCCTCCCACAGACTCAGTTTTTCTTGGAAAGTTTTATTCTTCCCTCATCATACACTGGTCAGAAATAACACCACTGGCTGAGTAAACTGTGCAGCACTAATAACTAATTCTTCTTCCAAAGGCAGTATGTCCTTCTGAATCATAGTGAAGCCTCCCTGCACAGCCATGCATACCATTTAAGGCAACCATCACCTGTACTACCACAGAAAAATGGCAAAGCTTCCATTAATCAGGAAAGCTCAGAAGCGAAACTGATGGAAAATTCATGGGGCAAGGCAAGAGTTCAACACCTGAGTTGTGCTCATCAGTTTCTGGACATGATCCACGCTACACAGGCAGCACTGTCTGGGAACACAGCTTCCCCCAGGATGAAAGGATGTGCTCTTAGGGAGTCTGGGGAGATCACTGGGAAGCTCCTCCTCTCTAGAGGAGGTGGCTGGAGCAGTCATCAGAGGGGGCACACATCAAGGAGAGAGGCAACACTATTAAAAACCCATGTCACAAAGAATTACTAGCAGTACCTTTTCATCAGGGCAAAGTGACAGCCCATGTTTGTTCTCTGGGCGCTGTTACCACTCACCAATACTCTCTCTTTCTGCACTGGTTACACAGCTGCAGAGGTGCTTCACTACTCACCCGCAGAGATACAGCCTGCTCCCTACACTGCCGATGCTCCCAAGGTGCAGCAGACTGCTGCCATCTCACTCATAACTAGATCTCTGCCTAGTCAGGCATGCTACAAGACTTCTCCACATTTAAGAAAGAACCTTTCCCTCCCTGCAGTGATTTTAAAGTTATTTAAATATTAACCACATAGAAGAAATCTATAGGAGAATAATACAGGAGAGTTTTCTGTTAGGGCTAAGCAGTGACATGTAGACAGTGTGCAGCAAAACTGCTGTCTGCTTCCCTCCAATGGTATAATTTCAGGGAAGCAGTAATTGGGGTCAGCCAAGATGCTCGGTGCCACCAGAGTGCTTTGTCACATTACTCAGTTTATTACTTGCCTTTCCAAATGAGGGTCTGATCCTGATTTTTATGTCTTAAAGGGAAGGAAGGTGGTTTGTTGACTCAGACCAGCTATGCAAAGAATTGCAGGACTGGGCCTCAAAATAAAAATTCAACCCACAAAATGCCTTTCTTCCAGACACTGGCTGAAAGGCCACAGCACCGAGCTCCAGGAACACCTCTCTCATTTCCAGGGAGGCTCTTTGCCCTGGATTTCTGCAGAGGAGCTGCCACATGAGTTCCCCCAGCTGAACACAGGCTGCTGAAGTACATCTCTCATAGCATTAGCACTCATACCTTCCTCTCACATCTCAGTGTCCCTACATCTTGCAAAGTCCTCACTGTAGGGCGTCACACAGAGGAGTCATAAAAAACAAGATGTGTCAGATATGAATGATCAGATCAAACCTGCATTATCCTCGTCAGACAACACACAGAAAAAACATGATGGGAAAAGCAGCAGGCACTGCTCCTTCTAGCTGCCATTTCTAAAGCAATCTTTGGAGATCTCTGATTCTGCACACCCTGCCCGCCTACATTTGGTGGTAAATTACTAATTTTAAATGGAAATGCAACATTCTGTAACAAAAGATACCACGGTCCCAAAACTGCTTGTACAAAACAGTGCTGTAACAGTCTGGAAAACCTCAACTGCAGAACCAACCACCCTTGTCAGAGGCTGAGACTGTTGCCTCTCTTCTTCAGCAGAAGAAATTGCTTACAACACATAGCACTTCTAGCCAACAGTGAGCCAAGAGCAATGCTAGAGGCTGAGCTCAACAAGAAGACTACTGTGTCTTGGCTCAGCATCTGCTAGGAAGAAGTCAGTCCCTGCGGTCTGTGCTCACTCCATGCTAACTGCTGATGCACTGTAGCTGTTTCTGCTGTCTTCCTGGAGGGCCGCAGGCTCTGGAATGATACCTTCTGCCAACGATAATGCTGTCAAACAATCCCTAGGAAGCCCCACTGCACCACTCCCAACACTGTGCTGATCACCTTCTACTGTTGAGTCAGGGGTGTGAGACCCAGGCACCCTCTGCAAAGCACAAGGCACAGGGCAGCGTCCTGGCCATAGCCAAATGGTCGTGAGCATGCTTCTGTGGCTGCCCAGCTCTGCACAGACCCGCCGCCTCCCACTGCTGCAGTCTCTAATTGACTAAACAGTGCTTGGAGATACCTGCAGAATGAAAGGCACATGAGAGCAGAAGCTGGTTTATTAAGAGGCCCACAACTATGAGACATCAGCACTGCAGACGCACTGTACAAGCTGCAGACTCCCAGAATGAGCTTTCCACAAATGAGTCCTCTTGTTGAGAGCTGTACGACTCTGTATTCATGTACCCTGCCAGAGGAGTACTTGGCAACCCCTTTGATATCGCTCTCTAAATTAATAGACAAAGGGAGTTTTATCAGAAGCAGGAACTAAAGTCAGACATCGGCACAGCGGCAGCTGCGAAGCAATTGCTGTGCAGGTGTGACAACGGGGAAAGGAGCCACACAGTGCACATCTGCATCTGAGGTATGAGGATGGCCCTGCCAGGGCTCCCTGTGAACTGTTCCTGCACAGAAAATAACAGTCCCGGGCTCAGGTCATTCTGCCTGGACTGCAAACCACCACCAGCCCTCAGCACTTCAATGTTGTCTTTATCGCAGCCCAGTCTCTGAGTGAACCTCTTCTTTATCAGCCTCTTTGAAATGGTGCGTGGAGAAAACCAAAGTTCAGATGACGGTAACAGGGAAAAGCACATCCCAACACAAGTGACTGAGGTGTTGTAGGACTCCCCTCACAGCTCCTGGTGACCCTTTGCATCGCTGTCCATCACAGCACTATTATTTCTGCGCATGGGCAAGCACCAGCACTGCTACCCCCACGGATGGCATCCTCCAGCACAGCAGTGTATGTGGTATAAAAGAACAAGCTGGGATTTATAACAACTCTCTCCAGCTACAAGACTGAAAGGCTCCAGAAGCAGCTGCAAACAGCCCCCAGCCAAAAGGGACTGGAATTACAAAGCAGTGGAGAAAAAGTGAAGAGGCAACTGTTTGTCAGGATCCTAACAGCAAAAATCCAAGCTCCCAGCTGCCCAAGGGGAAACACCAGCACAGCTCTGCTGAATCAAGGTCTAGAAGGCAGGACTGGAAACAGGACCCTTCCCCAGCTTCTATGCCTTTTACCTGCATAGGTGCATCTCCAGGGCCTGAGCAGAGCTCTTCTCCCTCCACCTCAAGAGCTTCCTGTGGACTCGTCTGGGTCTCTGCAGAAAAACACCTCCAGGTCAGCGCAGGTTTGCAGTCCCCAGACCACCTCCTCACCTGTGGATGTAACTCAGCCCACTTCCTTACAGCGCTTTCACAGCTTCAAAATGTCTTTTTTAGACTTGCCACCGATGTTATCAGACAGTGTGCAACGACACAGCTAGATGAGGGGTTAAAGTCACAGCATGCTGGTGTGAGGACAAAGCCACCTCAGCTTCGCGGCTTCATGGGGAGTGAGACTAGACACAGGGAAATTGCGTGGGATACTTGCTGGGACAGAGACAAAGCAAGAATAGAGCTCTCGCATCGAGACAAACAGAGCTTCCCTTCTGCAGCCTGCCTCGCAGTCACACCTCCTTTAGACCTCCACGTCTTCCTTAGCAACAAAATCTGCCTCCAAGCACCACCACTACCCCTCTCTCTCCAGCTGCTCGGGAACAGCAATGGGCTCTTCATGAATGTCCTCACTGAAAACCCTGAACTGGAAAACCTCAAACATGGTAGGGCAGAGCAAGGAAGAAAAACTCGTTGGTCCCAAACACGTTTCATTAATGTAGTAATTTAAGACAAAAAAATTATTTCAGCTCTCACACTTTACATGTTTTGACACTGAAAATCTTGATTGCACTGAAGAGACCATTCCTGACACCTTGGTTTGAGTGATCCCTCCGTATCCATTTACATCCTGGTGTCTCTTCAGCAGCAAGTCCCCAGCAATCTCTGGTCACAGAACCATCTTTGAGGAAATGGGTCCAAAACCAGGGAATCAAATTACATTACCTGAATAATTTCACCCCTGACAAACGAGACTGGGAAAATAAATCTCTGTTGGAATAACCTGAAGTTTTTCTTCTTTTCTCTGAATTTCAAAAGTGTGGAACTTTCAGTGCAAAGTTCAGAGCCTTTTCAAGTGCCTCTTACCTGGGCAGACAGAGATCTCTTCTTCTGCAGAGTTTTCTGTGGCAGTATCTGGGCTCCTTTTACTGCCAAGTGGAGTCAACACAGGGATGCTATTCAAAATATAAATACAGTATCAGTCTCCAATCCAGTAGCTGTGACAGCCACACCAGCCTGCCTCACGCAGCTCAGGACAGCAGATGATGCCATAATTTCCAAGCAGTCAATATCTGATAGCCAGAAATAGGACAGTCAGACCAGGCTAACAGCAAAATATGGGTAGAAAAAGCTGTCCTAAGCAAAATACCTGAAGGGAACATTTTTATCTTCTAGAAGCCCTTGACAAAAAGGCACAAAGGGCCACTATCGCGTGTCAAGGGTGCAAAAATACCTGCTCACAACTGTGCAACTCTCGATTCTTTCTACTCTTGGAAGATTTGGGAGCTGTGCAGGTATCAGCAATGTGCTTCTTTCTATCTAGGGAAGGAAATCCCCAGAGAGAAAAGACACAGAGTTGCTTTATCCCACCCTACCCTCTCCCTCCTCACACTGCTAATTTTCTCCCTTATCACTGCGCACAGCAGCCAGAAGCATCACAGACGCAACAAAAGGCAGGGCTTCCCTGCAGCAAAGCCCTAACAGCATTAGTGTGGCGGTTCCTCTGGGCAGCACTGGGTACTGCTCGTCTTGTTTTAACCTTCGGATTCCTCCTTTTCTTCTCTCCCTCCCAACAGTGCTCAATGTCTTTCTGGAACAAGCAGGCACTGCTGAGTAAGTCTGGCACCCATGCTGACACACGCCGCGCCTCGCGTGGCTCTCTGATGAGTCTGATCAAGTATGCAAGAACACACTTTAAAAACATGAATCCCCATACTGACAAATAGAAAATTTATTAAGCTCAACCACAGGCCCTGGAGAGCAGAGAACAGCCACTGCTGATTTATGATAAATAACAAAATTCCGATAGGAAATCTCAAGTGGCTTTTCTCTCTAAATAAAGCATCTCAGAGCATTTGTTATGAATCCAGGCTGAGTGTGTTTTACTCCGTGTCTAACATCAGGGCTCACTTCAAAAGAAGTCACACAAAACAACTTGCTATGACATTTATAAAATGGGCTAATCAATTTGAAGTCAAACCACATTTCTTGCTACACCAACTATCTCCTGGTAACAAAGCCTATAATCATTTATTAAAACCCCAATGTACCCTGCTCCACACAAAGTGTAAAACAATCAGGCAGAGCAGCCCACAGAAAGCAAAGCAGCTTCTTCCCACTGCTCTGCTTCCTAAACTGCTTCACTACCTCCAGACAGCTCCAAGCCGTGTGCTGCTGTGAAGTGCTGCTGAGGGCAGCTGGTTGGGGTGCCTCAGCCTCACCCGAGAGAGGGCTGTGCTGGCAAATTACCAGGAGCCAGATGGCAACACTTAATGTGCACAAAACTGCAAAGGCTGCAGCCATTCCTTGCCTTGCTGCAGATGTGCCAGCTGCTGACAGAGGGGCTGCAGCACCCAGCTGTGCTCGGGCCCCAAGAGGGGCAGCCGGGAGCTCCTGGAAGCTTGGGAATGTCCCGAACTAACCCCACCAGCCACACCAAATGGAAGAGCTCCCTCTCTTGCCATATACAGCCCTGGGCTCTTCTGCCTTAAGGAGAGGGCAGCGCTGCAGAGCGCACATTTCAGTGCCTTCCACACAAGCACACGAGCTCGGACCCCGGCGGTCACAGACTCATCATCCAATGAGCAGTACAGCAATGGCAGTACCAGGGCCCTCCTGCTCCCCAAGGAGAGCTTTAAGCTTGTTAGATTGGTGCAAGCAAGAAGGATTTTCATACTCTGCATATTGATATTAACTGCTCAGGCCAAACGCTGTTAGATCAGAGGAGAGCTGGCAGTTCTGTTCCAAAGCAGGTTTAAATTATAAAACCCAGCAAATTAAAACCATGACAGTATCTGGCCTCTCTTGTAACTTGCTCCTTGAATCTTCTCCCATTTGCCCTTCTTTTCCCACAGCCTTCGCTGCAGAATTGCATCCCACAGGAAGGGAAGGAAAAAACGGAAAAGAGGAGTAGGCTTAAATCTGAAGAAAATCATGTTGACTTGTCCCACACCTGTCATCTTCTGAAGTGGCTTTTCTGGAGCACTGCACTCTATCTTTGGCTGATAGGCAGTGCCGTCTGGCTTCCTCCTCCCTTCTTTCCTCTTCAGCAGTAAGGCAAGAACATAAAAATACACGCAGAAATCCAGTAAACCCTCCACCGTGCTGCCTATGTGCCTTCTCAGGCAGACCACGTGATGGCATCGCTATAACTCACCTTCAGCTCACCTCCCCGTCTCCACAGCTTTAGGGCACCATGTCACACTAGATTCAGAGGGCAAGGATCAAGTCCTCCTACTTGTACGAGAATGCACCTTGCATGTTTTATAAAGTAATAAGGGTAACTGATCTCTTCTCCCCAGTTGTGTCCCACCTTTCTCCCATACTGCTCCAGATTCATGAATTTCCAGGAATACCCTACAGCAGAGAGCTTTTCCAGCAAGCCCTGCAGCGAGTCCCAGTGAGACTGCACCCCAAAACATTGCAGGGAGAGTGGCAGGGTCCCCATCACCAGAGTGAGCCCGTAAGCCCCACGTTCTGAAATCACTGTCCTCACCTCTGTGCAACTTGCATGGGTTCCCCTTCCTCACGAGCATCGTCTGCAGGGAGCGCCTGGGAGGCCTGGAAAGGAACATTCTGGTGTTATGCAAACAACGTACAGGGCTAACCAGGATCTGCTGGGTCATCAGGCTCTGTCCCTGACACCACGCCCAGTCTGTCATGTACTTTTTTTTCTGTAAATGGCCAAGTATCCATCCTGAACCAGGCAGCTCTCCTCCATCACTCCTTTTAGCAAGGTGTTCCCACAGCTCCCTGAGATAACGCCTGGCAGTACTTTTTGTTGCCCTGCTGTCTAGACATATTCCTGGACATTCCATGTCCATCCATTCAGGCCAATGTTGCCCAGTACCTTCCACACCCTCTGCCTGTTCCTAGCACCTATTCTGATGCATCTGTAAGCAGCAGCCACAGTTCTTCTCCATCTCCATTTGTACTGAGCTAGGCAACCAATGGATTGTAGTGTTCCCTCACACTCCCTCAGCTCCCCAGCAGCCCTCACCTCCTCCAGTTTAAAATGTATTTGCCTGAGCAGGGTGACCTGATCAACTGGTACAGCCCATGTCTGAGCATGAGAAGTGCTTCTCTGAAATTTTGTGTCGATAACATCTGTGGCATTTTTCTTGACTGGGAATCAGCTGTCCCATCAAAGAGAGGGAACAGATTAACCTGCACAGTCTACAGCTAGTAAATCCCTGCGCATTTATCCCATTTTTCATTTAGCTCCACGACTTATTCTTTCCTTTCAAATTTGTTCAAAAGCCTTATGCAGTGCCGAGGTCAGGCTAACATGCCAGTCATTACCCAGTTCCCTTTCTTCTTCTCCAGCATACAAGTTACACTTGCCATCCTCTAATCAGATGGAATTACAACGGTTTATTAGCAGTCCTTGCTGTCAGGCCTGCAATTTCTCATGCTAGTTCTCAAAGCAACTCAAGGGGTTTTCCTCCCCCTTCCTCGAGTCTATTAAACTCTCCGAGTTTGATTTCTACCACAGGTTTCAACTTCAATCAGCTCCACTCCTGTATGGCTGATGCGCTTCCCCAGCAAGCCCCAAAACAAAGCCTCCTGTCAGATTTCCCTAAAGTGACTCTAAGCCCCCAAATATTCTGTTTTATCTACACTGTTCTGCACTTCTTCACAACCTACCTCATCATTAACATAAAATACCACACCTCCTCTTTTTATTTCTCTTTTTTCCTGAACTGCGCATATTTTAATACCTCTGCTCTGGTCATGAATACTGGACCACGCTTCTGGTTTTCCTGCTACATATAAGACATGACATGAATACACTAATTCAGGTCATCAGACTAACTCTCCAGAACGGGGTCTTTTCCCTCCGAATCTTTTAAAGACCAAGTGTCCCCTAACTTAATTTGAAAGGCTATGAAATAATTTATTCTATTAGCACTGAGGTTTGTTAGTGCAGGTTCCCAGGCTATCAGGTCTCCTGACAAGAGCATCGGCCCTGTGCAGACATCCCTGTCACAGCAGTTGGGCACTGCCAGGGTGGAAGGTCTCTGCCCACTCCAGGTGAGGGTTTCAAAGCAGAGGTACAGGCAGCCCCCTTCAAGCACATCCCTTGCACCTCCACTTCACTGGTACAAGACACAGCACAAGGCTTTTTCAAGGACGGCTTTGAATCCCCAGCCTAAAATCACCAGCCCCGTCAGCAAAGCAGCCCCAGGGGCACTGGGGAGCCCCAGGGCAGCACAGGAGACAGGGTCTGCAAGAGATGCAGCACAGCGGGGACACGACTGCTCCGAGCCCCTCCTTTGTCACTGCCAGTGGAATTGTATTTGATAGAAGGAAAAAAAAAATGGAGACGAGGCACAAGCAAACATCAAACATATCGATCCTGCAAGTAAATCACCTGCACTGGCCTCGGTGTGCGACTGCACAGAGGGGCGAGAGAAAGGAGCAACCGCTCAAGCTGGGTGTGATAAGGCAGATGAAAGGGCATTTGAAAATTATTTCCTCTCAAGTAAATAGAAGACTGGCAAGGGGTTTGGGCAGGGGTTCCAATGTTGAAGTCTGCTTCCCTTCCCCCTTCCTGATTTTTTCACCTTAAAAATACCAGAAAGGCTGCACCTACATACACATTACAGCTCTTTGAGCTCTTGTGGTCAGGATGAGTGCATTACAAGTTCCCACTCAGTGCCACTAAACTCTCTTTTCTCCCCAAGTATTAATTAGATATTAGCATTAAACGGATAATATAAAAATAAAATACCCCACAATTTTCAATACTGATTAAGAGTTCATGCCCTTCCCAGCTGCTGCAGCTCTCCAAGGGCTTTAGCATACACCTCCACAGACCTGCAGTCACCCCAATCTTCCAGATTAATAACACCTCCCATTTCCACAGGAAAAGCCAAAGAATTAAAGAAAGCAGTTTGCCTGAAGAACCTTTCAGGTCTTTTGTATTTATCCTAAATAAATGAAAAAAGGCACAAGTCAGTTTCTTTCCTCTGCAGGTCACCTCTAAGGCTTGCTTAAATCTGTCTGCTAAACCCAAGCCAAAGCACTGTCACGAAAAGTCACATTTCAGCACAGGCTGCTCTGCTCTTTTTCTGCAACCAGAAAATGCAGACATGACGTTTTTCCTAAGTGCTCAATATTACAAGACAGAATATAAATATCACAAAACAAGTTAAGTATCTTTCTAACACCAGGGTAAATGATCAAATACACTTGAAAACAGGAACAACAGAGCTGAGGCTTCAGTCACAGAGAAAATAAAGTTATACAATGATCCGAGAGTGAAGTCATTATGAAAAATGAGGGTTGGAAAAGGCTGACACAAACCTAAAATACAGCAGTAATAAATACTTCATCTGACTAGCAATCTGTTTAAACTTAGCAGTGACAGAAAGCTGCCTTCCGCTCCAACAAGAGCCCTGATGGAGACAGAGGCTGACACCTAGCGTCTAGCAGCTCCAACAAGCAAGCCGAGGAGAAGGTGCCCAACCCCACAACAAGGACGATGAGCACGGCTGCGGTGACAGCTCACCCGGGGCAGGCAGAAGATGCCTGTGAGCAGGCAGAGCCTTGCCGGCCACAACTGCAGGGCCACGAGGTAAAAGAGCTCTCACAAGGCTGAAGCACAGACGGACGCAGATGAGCGTGTAGGTGCAAAAAGGAAGAGCTGCACCGCAAGGACAAAAGGCACGTTTCTGTCTGTGAAGGAAAACACACGGCCATGGGTTTATAAGCTGTTTTGCCAGAACTGGTGGTGGTCAGCATCATCTCTGTGCTTCCTACCCTCCCTGACACACTGCCAGGCTTCACCCTTTGGAGAGGGACAACTCAGCTGCAAGTCTTTGTCACAGGTGCATTAATGGACACCTGCCACGCTGCATGATGGCCCCTGCCATTTGTGAGCCGGACATCAGCCTCTACACTTCCCCTCTCTCTTTCACAGTAAGCTGTGTGGCTAGGGGAGGAAGTCCCTGCGTTTAAGGGGAGCATTAAACAGCAGTGCCTGCTTTGCAGGAGGGACCGAAGCCTGAAACGGACAGAAGTGCAGGAATGTTCAACATCTGCTCAGTGGTGAAGCTCCTACCTGGCAGTAGCTGGTGGTTGGTTCATCATCGGAAGTGGAGGTCTCTTCTTCCATGCTGTGCCCTGGACTCTCTGCCTCCCTCCTCTTTGAGGGCAGGAGCCAGGTCATGCTCTCAGACTCCTTCTGCCCATCTGGATTTCCATCTTCTGTACCATCAGCAACCCCATTCTCCCTGCTTATGTGCTCTTCTTTCCCAAGCTCATTTCTGCTCAAGGAAGGACTGGGCACAACTGGGTTACCAAACTCCTTCTTATGCAGTAGCTGCCTCTGAGCCTGCTTCAGGCTCTTCTGGTAAACCTCCAGCTGACACAAGATGACTTTGGTGTACTGGTTGGGGTCCACCCCTTTGGGGCAGAAGGGGATGCCCCAGTAGTAGTGCACTGTGTCTCTCGCCTCCTCCTGCTTGTACTTCTCCTCTGCTGCATTCAGTACACAAAGCTCAGGGGTACTGTCAGGCACCTCATTCTGCTCTGCTTGCTCTGCGGAAACACAGACTTTGGTGGCATGCCTGGGCTGTGAGCTGTGTTTGGTACCTGTTCCCCCATTGCTCCCCCTGGGGCTGCCACACTGTTCTGCAGTCCCACTCTTCGAGAGCGTGGCTGAGCTCCCAGCACTAGCTTCTCCCACAGAATGGCCAGTGCAGGGCAGGGGCTGCTCTTTTGGTTCGTGGCCTGTTGTTCCAGAAGAGCTGGAAGAACTCATGAACAGTCTCCGAGGTGTCAGTTGCCGGGAGCCTGAAGTCACCCTCCCAAAGGTGGGACTCAGAGAGATGAGGTCCTCTCCGAGAGTGCTGGGTAACGTGTTACTAGAATCACTTTTTGCTGGTGAGGAAAGCTTTTCACTTGACCTTGTCACAGGCTGGTCCTTCCCCGGAGACACGATTATGCTGGATACTAGTGAGCTTTCAACAATTTCCTGGCTTAACCTCTTCAACACTACCAGGGGGCTCCGGGCGACATCCATCTGTCCATTCCCATCAGCTCTGGCGCTCTGTGAGTGGGAGCTGCACTCGGAGCGAGGGGTGTCAGGGCACAGTGCCAGACCTCCCAGGATCTCAGAGCCTTCCTTCTTGGTGGGCTGGCTTTGGCCTTCTGCACACAACTGAGGGGTTGCTTCAGAGTAGTCCGAGGACTGACAGCTCTGAAAAACAAAAGGTTGATTCTCCAAAAGGCACGTACTCTATCAGCAAAGCACACCAAAGGCTGGACTGCAGACCCCGCATCCTGATCAAAACCCTGTACCCCAAAATAGGGTACAGCTGAGGCTTGACTTCATATGCTACACTCACTAGGAATGCTACAAAACATCTACTCTGCAACTACTGCAGTTCCAGCTCATGCTAGAAATAGCTAGGCCCCCACCGAAACCTTGTTTTGTGCAGTGTGGCAAAACAAGCACACAAAGCAGGAGCTGAAGAACCCTAGTAAGCCTCTTCACAGAAGCGCACTTACACTAAGGCTCTCAGCAATGGCCTTCCTCAAGAGCTCCTCCTCTTCCTCTTCCTGACAGTTCACTTGTCTGGCTTCTTGCTCACTCATTTTCAGGGCCAGTGCAAACTGTTCCTCTTCAGTCATCTCTACAGCAGAAGAATAGGAAAATGTCAATTCACAGCTGCAGGTGTATGCAAACAGCCAACACATACCCAGCGTGCTGGGAGAAATGTCCAAGGGTTCCACCTCCCCAGAGCAAAACATCTAAACCTCAGCTTTCCTGAAAAGGTGTCACCAAAACCAGAGCAGGCAACACTAAATGAAAAAGATAACCCAAGTCAAGAACTTCAGCTAGGGTATCTACATCAATCTAAGCTCTGACTCCCTGGTTATATTAACTGCAATGGAATATTTTATTTGTCCTCATCAAACAATGCATTCTACAGCTGCAGAACATGTGTTCAAGGAGAGGAAAAGGACGGATTTCCAAAGTGTGCTCTTTTTTCCATCGGGTAGGCTCAGCAGCAAGGCAGGCTGAAGAACACATATTCTTTAATACACTTTTTCAGCAGCCAAAAAGCACATCTCGCTGCCTTCTGACACACAGATACCTGCAATACCACAGGAGACCTACCCGAGAGAGAAAAAGCTGCACGTTGTTCACCCCGAGCCGCAGGTGGAAAGCTCAGTGGAGGATAATGTTCCTTGTTCGGTGGTATTATGGTGGATCTTTCACATGCATACATCCCCCTTCTGCTCACATCACCACTCCACTGCATCACTAAGTCAGTCATGCATGGGGAACAGGTTTCCTACATTTGTAACTGCTATTTCAGCAGAAAAATCTTTCTGAAACAGTCAAGAGCAAACCAGAAGCTGAGACTGGCTATTTAGAAACAAAGCAGTTAGTTACTTTGGAAAACACTTATTTACTCAGATTCAACCCAACACTTCCACTATGCTTAAAATATATAATGCCTGCAGAATGGAGTGCAGCTTGGAAAACAACTCAACAGCACTCTCAGGAGCTGAAAAATACATCTTCTCACTTGAGACAAATTGACAGATTTCCTTCAGAACCCGCTCCCTCCTTCAGGCAGAATCCTGCACGCACCATCTCATGCGTGAAGCAAGAGGCTTGCTGCTGATGGGCCACAAGATCTTTAAGACACATGATTTGAACAGGAAGGCCGCCCAAGCACAAAACATGCCTCCGTTGCAGCCCATTTCAGGCACAGACATTTCCCTGGATAAAGATACATTCTGAAGTTGCAGGCTCCCATTTTCTAACCCATCCTCTTCCTACCAGCTGCTCCCGAAACACAGCACCGCAGCCTCCCTTGAAGCAGCCTGGGATTCACTGGTCTGAGCACAGCCTGTGCACCACGGCACTACTGCATTGAGGTGCATCAACACAGCAGCAGGCTCTGCTTTGCCCTTCCCCCAACTCTTTGCTAATGGAAGGCTGGTTCTCCCCCAACCAAGCAGGATTTGAAGCATTTTTGGACTGTTCCGATTCCTTTATGTGTCCTACTAAATCAGCACTTAGGTGTAGGTTGGGGTTTTGGTGTGGGGGGTTAATTTCTTCATTTTTAAAGAAAGAGATTGAAGTGAAGGCAGAATGCAGTGCACTCAGGGCTCGTGGGGCTCTTTTGTCCTTGGACAAAGTCATTCTGTGATGTTACAGCCAGGAGGGACCAGGGCAGAAAAAAAGCAGCATCCTTTAATGGAAAGCACACGACAGTTCAGTGTATGAAGAAGGCTCCTCTCCCCAAGAACAGCAGTAATACACAGTGTTTCCACTATGCCAAACACCTCCCCAGCATTCAGCCGATTTGTTTCCCTGCCCAAACCATCACAGCAATCATGCGAGACCCTTCAAACTCTGCCATGTGCAAGAAAACAGATTCACGTGATCAGTGCCCCACAACACAAGACTTTCCACGTGCTTAAATGAAAACAGGGGGCTGAGTGTTCATCAGTTCAGACTATCAACATCCATGAAGCTTAATAAAAAGAAACATTTTTTTGGCGAGTTACTACTGTACATTTTGTTTTCTTCTCCCTCCCTGGCACAGCAATTTCCCCTCTGGAGACAGGGAATGTGCCAGACAAATGCTGCCTCTGGCAAAGAAACCAGTGACAAACAAGATGCACTTAGTGCATGTTCCAGTTGAGTAGGTGCTCCCGAGATGGGGAAATCTCGAGTTTAAATCCACCTGGCATTACGGTGGGGAGAGCAAAGAGCAGTGCCGCTCATGCCTTCCAGGAGACCTGACCTGCTTTAAGCTGAGTGCTGTGGAGCCAATGGGATTTTGTGCTCCACATCTGATCCTTTCTCAGCACCGTGTATTTTATTAAACCTGATGTTGATTGCACTGGCCATAATTTACCATGATTAGAAACCCAGAGCGCTGCGTTACCCCCGACCGACCAGTGTGTGCAAACAGAGCACTGGAGCGCTCCCGGGGCACGCCGCGGGGCCAGGGCTCCGCAGCCCTTGGGAGGAACGACCCCTCTCCATCTGGACAGACACGCTCCATTATGCTCAACACATCACTCCCGCTGCTGGGTAGGGAAACGCCAACACCTCCGGCTGGGAATTCTGCATCTCACACTCCAAAATCCACTCTCCACACGTCCATGCCAAAGCAGCAGGAAATCCCAGCGCCTCTCCCGGGACCAGGGCATCCAAGAGACCCACAGATGGGAAGGAGGGGTCAGGGAGAAGTGTTTCAAAGCTACTGCAGCCCTAAACAAATTAAACCATTTCAGAACCTTTTTAAATGCTAATATGGCAATTTGCTAAGCGATTTATGTTCCAGCTTGACGTTTGCAAAGTGAATTAGATGCAAAACCCTACTAGTTGGAGTTCTAGCACTTACTAGTAAGAGATTTACTCAAAGATAACAGAGATGCAAGATCTCAGTATTTCCACATATCCAAAGTGCAATTACAATAAAAACATTCAAATGTGCTTTAACGCTCTGGCTTCCTCCGGAAAAAGAAAGAGAGACTTCTTTAGGGTTTGTATTTCCATTTATCCTGTCAGGATGAAACGTCACAGATATATTTAAGTTATGGCTTTAGGTTAAAATGAATAAAACCACAACAAAGCAAAAAAGGGAGGATACGCTTTATAACCAGAGCCTACGAGTAGCTGAAATGTTCCAGTTTTGAGGAGAAAGATCGTGCTCTACCCAGAAGCTCCAAATCTTTACAAAAGACCAATTTGCCTTGCAATTCAAAGAATTTATTTAAAGACATTGGGAAAAATAATTACTACTTCAAATCTTAATTTGCCTAAAAGCAAACACCAAAAGTCTAATTATAGCTTCCAATAAATGAGAGAATAGACCCACCATCACAAGCACTTAAACAAAAGACCTCCCTCCGACCGAGTGGCACCAGACGCCCCCAAACTCCTCCGCTTCGAGGAGACACATACACCTCCAAGAAAAAAGGCAGTTTTTGCCCCAGGAAGAGAAAAACTATTACCAAGAATTTCAACTTTTAGAAATGCAGCAAAACTCCTCATTACACAATGGCTGGAGAGCTGTCCCTGTTTCCTGTGGGTTTTCTGGAGCACACCAAACACCTTCAACACAGCATCAGCACACTCAACGATGCGATGAGGACATCCAACTTCAGCAACTCCCTGTTCTTAGCACCATATGTTTGGTCACATTTTAACAGCATCTCTAAGGGGGGGTTCAGTGTTTATTTGGCATTCTGTTTCTTTGGGGAGAAAAAGAAGAAAACAAACTAAAGGACTCAATCTCTCCCCATCTCTGCCTTTGCTATCTTACTTCTTCAACCCAGGACACGCACAGTGGGTTTCAACTCCCACAAAGAGCCAGGCTGTTTCCTGCTATGGCCTTAGGCCTCTATTAAAAACAATTTAATTCACACAGGCCCTGTGAGGACTGACAAGCCCAACTGCTGCTGTTTGTGGAGCACTGGCTGGTGTGCTCCATTTTGTTCAGTGATTGCTTTGGGTTTTGCAGGAGACAACACCTCTCCCATTTTAAAACGTTCTGAATTTAACACGCTAGGCGGATGGCTGCCTTGTGGAGTGCAAGAACATGAGCAAGGATCCATTGGGATAGAGTGGTGTCCAGCTGCCCGACTGCTGTAACAAGTGGTGCTGTACAGGCCTGGTTCAGTGGTCCCTTCTGCTTGTACAACCCCAGCATTCAGAAATGCTGCTTGCAGAATACGAGCAGAACAGCCCAGCCTGATCCCTTTGGCATCTATTTATAGAGCTATTGTCCATGAATGCATTTAAGCCCTTATTAAAGTTGCTGATGCTGACCTCTTCACAACCTCTTATGACAAAAACTTCCAGGAGTTCACTACATGCTGTGTGAAGCATTACTTTCCTTCACCCATTTCAAACCTACCTATCTCCCGCTATTTCCACTGACTGCACCCTGGCTGTAGGAGCTGGTAAACAACAGCTCTGTGTTCAGCTGAGGCATTGCCTTCCTGATGTGAACTTTGATCCCACCTTCCTCTCTTAACAGAGCAGCCCCAGGCTTTCCAGTCTCTCCTCATAAAGCAGCTGCTCCATCCCATTTATGGCACGGGCTGCCGTTCTCTGGAGTACCACCGCGTCCTTGAGATGGAGAGACCAGAACTGCACACAGCACTGTTGATGTGGGTGCACCAACACTTTATATAACAGCAATATGACATAAAGCAAATCTCTTGTTCTTAACACCCTTCCTTGTGTTGCCCAATGCTGCTGGCTCCTCCGGCTGCCTACGAGCCCATGATTTCAGAGAACTGTCAACTGCGACTCAGATCTTCCCTGAGCTGCGACTGCCAGGTCAGAGCATCGTGATGTTTCAGGGAGACAGCAGCAGAGGGGCCTGAACAGGAAGGCAGTTTGTGACTGACAGTGCTTTCAGATCATCTTCAACCGAGTTTGAAACCCGGTGAGGAACCAACACCCTCACACACTTATTTTGGAAGTGCACCAGTCTGTGCCTGGGGAGAAAACAAGTGACAGTGTCTACTCAGAAAGGCAAACTTCACCCCTGAGAAGGGTCTTCTCCAGGATCTGTGCTTCCCCCACCACATCACAGCCTTTCTGCAAAGGAAATAATCTCTAACACGAACAGCAGAAGCTGCTCAGCACCAGTCTACTTCCCCAACCCCACACTCAAGACCTACGTGCGATTTTTCTTTTAGCAGCAAACTTCGTTCTCTCCAGCTGCTGTTTTGTTCTCTTCTTTTGCAATGCACTCTCCTCCTTTGACTCCTGCTGTAATGGAAAAAACCATGGTGAGTGCATACAGCATGTAAGAAATACTACCAGCTCCCTCTCCGCCACGACTCAGACACAAACACTGGTTCAAGAACAAGCCTCTATTTGTGTGAAATTTGAATTTCAAACATAATTCAAGCACATTCTGTAACTATTAAAAGCTGTGTGATAAGCATAATGAGCAAAAAGAGTTACAGACTGACATAAACAGAGAAGTAGGAGAGACAATAGACTTCATGCCAGTCACCACCATGCACTGCACCTGCTGCCCATGATTTTAGAGAGAATTCATTTGGCCTTGCTAAAACATTGGTATTTGTCAGCACTCAAAACAGAAAAGCAAAACCTTTTTATATCCAAACATCACACACCTCTAAGCTGTAACTGCTCCCTGCCATGTAGCTTCTAGTACTCTGCCCGGACAATTTCAGGTGACCAAAACTAGAATCCTAGCCATTTTGGAGGATGATGAGGGCAGGAGAGCCAGCTGTATTTATTCCTCCTGCTATTCTCTCATTGTATTTACAGCAAGTGTTTAATTTTTGAAGCCTGAGTACTCCGGGAACCTGAAGTCTCAAGGCCCCCCATGAACAACCTCAGTGCCTGCTGCTTTAAGCACATGGACTGCCACAAGAATGGTCACAAGCTGAAATGACAGACATTTATGCAAGTTGCTGTCCTAACAGCTCAAGTGAGGGCATACACATTACCAAGGGCTGGCACTGGACCTCTTCCAATGTGACTCTCTGTATCACGTAGGATTAGAATCAAACTCAGCGTTTCAGGCAGAGACCAGTGTGTGGCCAGGACGGGGCTTCATGCATCTCCATCTGAACTGGTTTTGCTCTCCGTGAGACTCCTGCAAACCAGCCACATGCTTGTCCCTCATGCCACCTCCTGTGCCAGGACAGGGCTTCCAGATGGGGCATGTGGCTGGGGCTACTTTAATGCAAGCAGATACACTGCTTATTATCAAGTGTCATCAATTTCTGCTGCCCATTGCCTGTGTTTCTGAACCTGTGAAGTCCTTTAGACTGTACCTCTATGCTGAGTTTTGTTCCAGCCATCTCCAGTTTAACGTTACCTGTAGATTTTATTAATGTATGTACACCACTTGCTCCCTCTTACAGATCATTAATGAGGATGTTAAAAGACACACAGACCTAATATTGATCCTCTTGGCCTCAGCTTTACACCTCCCTGAAACAAGCTTCTCTTCTGTTCATCACCAGCCTTTGCTCACAGTCTTTTAGCAGGATTTCAATCCAACAATGTTACTATCTAGACCAAATTGAATTATTTATCCAACTAAGATTTTGCAAGACATACTATCAAGCAGTTTCCTGAAAGCCTAATACATTACAGCTTCTACATGCCCCAATACCTACACCATTCCTCACTTCCACCAATTTAAGAATCAGCTCACAAAGCAGCAATCGTGCTTGTCAAGTCCACACACACATATTCATGCTTGCACCTAAGGGCTTTTCCTCTGACTGAATCCTTCTCTTCCTTACCCAGCCTGGTTTTGGTACCCTGTGTCTAAAATCTGCTGTGTCTCCAAAAGGCTGCCTCACAGCCAGATTCTCTCTTGCTAGAAGATGGATGCTCACACACAGCAGGAGAAATCCTCTCTCTCCCGGGGCCCTGCACATTTTCCATAAGGCACAGATTTTCCTGTTCCAAACTGCCCTGCAGTGGCAGTCCACACCTAAGGGAGTGCGGAATGGTCTGTGGGGCTGCACCAGGATCACGCTAGGATTGTATGCTGGAGAGAGTTCAGCAACAGCTCTCCTGCTGTCCCCCAAAGCCCTGACTAACAGTGCTAAACCTACTGCAGTTTAAGACAGGGGCAACTTAATCCTAGGCTCTGTAAATCCCCAGCTCTTCTCTCTGGACATCAATCTTCCCCTCATCACTCTTACACTTGCCAGAAGGTCAACCCTGACACTCTCATCTGCAGCTCTCTTCCAGGGCACGGATGTGATTTAAGAGCACACCAAACTTTCCACAGCTGCCAGTGTCTGCTGTGTGCACAGAGACACACGGTTACAATATGCACCACAGGACAAGATGGGGCCCAAACACCTCCAGGGCTTTGGAGGAGAACGGCGTGCCTGGTGGCAGGCAGGCTGCCCAGCTTCACCACACAGCCAAGGCCGTGCCTCAGTGCTGGGTCCTGAAGAACCTCCACATTTCCAGCAGCGGCAGGAGCAAAATGATTGCAGGACACGTGCTGTATGAACCTCATACATTTGAGAAAGATGTTTAAATTGCTCAGCAGCGTTCTACCGAACAGCTCCAGCACAGTGAAGCGCTGAAGCAAATCCAATTAATCCTGATGGACCGAAATATACACACACATCTCAATTCCAAGAATTCTTAAATCTTCTTTATTTTTAAACCCAGAAAATAAAACATACCTTTTAATTAGGATTTATGGCTGTTTGTACCTCTGCTGGGAGAGAGCCCCGCAGGCCCCAGAGTGCTCTGCATAAATGCAGGCATGGATGGAAGAAACAGAAGGGGCCTAGAAAACTCCGAGAAGACAACAGGGCTTGCTCCTTCTGACCCAACCTTTTTAATGCTCATCTCTCTACAAGGATAATAGGAACTCAGGGGGCCACTCAACCAACTGCCTTTCTAATAAGATCACTAGTCCAAAAATAATCTTAATCAATTAAAATATTCCCAAACTGCAGCCAATACTCTTAGTTACAAGGTCATCTCCAACACACAACTTCCAGGGGAAACTAATTATTCTAAGCAGAGGCGAGGTAGGGGCTGTGCACCTCTGCTCAGTGCCAGCCTGGAGAGCGTCTCCCCTCCTCTGCCATCAGTTTAAAGCATAATGGCCAGAAGGAACCCAAATTCTCTTCCTGTGTATCGGGCTCTGCAGTTTAATTTATGATGCTCTCCAATGAGCAATTCCACTGTCAGCATTGTACACAGATGAAGAAAAAGACAGGTTTCCAAAGTCCTCTGCACGTTTAATGGAAGGCAGCCACTATTCTTCCTTGGGTTTTTTTTACCCTGCTTGGTTTCACCAGACAGCAGGAAATCAAATTCCCATTTTAAAAATGCTTTTGCACATACTTAAGAGAACCTGACGCTGCCAGTAGAAACAGACAGAGCTCCACTTGCTTCTAAAAGCCTGTAAATGGAAGCCAGTAGCCAGCCTCCCACATCCTGCTCCCTCCAATCCACATCATAAACCACAGAAATCAGCTTCCACTGACTCATGGAAGGAAAGGCCACAGAAAAACATCTCCATAGCTAACAGTGCAGGCTGCAAAGTCAAAAGGTCTGGGTAGTTTTACTGCTCAGTAGCAGTTGGGACCACCTAACAATAGGGCACAGCCAAACACCACACGTCCTGCATGGGAAATACACAGATGAAAACCAGACTAATTTATTTTTAAAAGCCAATTAGATGTTGGAAGTGCCACCCTTGGCTCTAGCCAAGGCTGCTGCTGCCGAAATTAATATCACACCCTACCTTATTAGTCTCCGACTTCAGCTCATAATCTGTTTCAGCTCTGCTCTGTCTTTCAGCTCATTAGAACAAACCTGCTGGAAGTGGAGACTTGAACAACAGACACAATGGGGCTTGTGCCAGACGTGTAGTTCCTGACACACAGGAGGGAGGCCTCTGCAGGAAGAACAGCTTTCACCAGGCTGTGAGGAGCCTGGATTCAGACAAACCTGATTTCTGAGGAGAAGGTACAGCACAGCACACTCATACTGTGTTCTCCCCTCTGGGAAATGGAGTCCCTCAGTACCACAGCAGAGCCCCTGGGGACAGGAGGGTGCTGTTGTGATACTCCCACGTGGCTCTGCTTCACTCGGATTGCCAGTGGCGTGAGGAGGGCACTGCCACCCTCATGTGAGACTGCCAGCACCATCTTCACTACAAGGGTGCTGAGGCACTGGCACAGGGTGCCCAGAGAAGCTGTCGCTGCCCCATCCCTGGCAGTGTTCAAGGCCAGGTTGGACACAGGGGCTTGGAGCAACCTGCTCTAGTGGAAGGTGTCCCTGCCCATGGCAGGAGGTTGGAACTAGATGAGCTTTAAGGTACCTTCCAAACCAAACAATTCTATGATTTGATGATCTTCTCCATAGCAAGGCATCCCTCAGGCCATGCCTGGTCCTGAGACAAGCGTTCTCTGCCGTAGTTAATGGAGAACAGGACAGGGCAGTGGCTGGGTTCCAGCCAATGTCCAAACACAGTTCCCTCTTTCTACCAAAACCAACATCTGATCTAGAACATCAGCACATGCTGCTATTTATCCAGAGTGCGAATATCTCCAAACACAGGGATAATCACGCAAAGGAATGTTCCACACCAAAGGGAAGAGGGGCCATGGATACCATACAGAAATAGATGGCACCATCACCACAGAGTCTTGTCATATGTTCCCCAAGGGCTGGCAGAGCTGATGAATCTGGCAGAAGGAGCTTGTGAGACTTCATGCAGACTCCATGAGCGAAGGCAGGTATTCTCACAGCTCACAAAGGATCTACCCAAGGAAAAAGAGTCCCACAGCAGATCAGCAGCATTTTGGGTTAGGGTCAAAGAGGTTAGCACAGCTACTGGGCCTCTGCTGGCTGACAATCGTCTTTCATACATGCGTTCAGAACATCTTGGAGGTCAAAGAGTCTCTATAAAACAGCCCAATTCACGCAGGAGGCTAGTGAGCCAGCCCAGGTAATTGCTATGCTTGGAGAGAGCATTGGTGGGCACTATTTGAAATATTGTCTTTTTGTGAATGACCACCTGTAATCTGGCATGGGCAACTGATTCCCTGCAGGACTGATCAGTCAGGGGAGACAGGAGCCACTTTGCTCATTCGTCACGTCTGCATTTTCTCAGGTACAGCCTGCACAGAGAAGGTAATCTCTTGTTTCCACAGAGCCAGAGAGACTGTTTTATTTTGTCTGACCCTTCTCAAAAAAAAAAGAGAAGTATTCCCCAAATCCAGGATTATATATAGCAGAGATCAGAAAGCCCCACATCCAGAAAACTTCCTTCTGATGCAGCTCTGCGAATGCCACAGCATAGACATGAGCAAAGAAAGAAAACTTGGCAAAAATAAAACCACCATGGATGAGCTTGATAATCCAGCATGACTGAAAAATTCCTGGGAGAGGCAGTCTGCCAAAGATCATCAAAAGTGAGAAGCTGGAGGCTTTCCAGGTGCAGCTGCTACAAGATCTGCTGGTCTGGAAGCAGAACTAGGGACTTGTTCTATAGATACCTGCCAAGAGACTGCCAAGGAAGAAAGCCATCGAATCAATGATGCCCAAATTGTCCTTGTAGCTTTTGATTCATAAGGAACCATGTCCTAACAGATGCAAGATTAATTGAGAATGTATTGTTCTCTAAAATTGCTATTGATCTGAGCTTCCCACACCTCTTCTTGAACACATAACAAGGTCTTACTAGAGCAAGAACAACAGTTGCAAGGTTTGAAATTGAAATTCAACTTGATGCACACTGAAAAGCTGAGACAGTTACAGAAGCCAGACAGTTATTTTTTTGAGATCCCAAGTAAATCACATTTTTGGGTTTGATTTTGCAGAAAACAACACGACAAGAGACTGTGGCACCGGATCTGGAAGCTGATGACTCACAGAAAGAGACTGAACTGAATAAATCCACTCATTCAACTGACTGAACTGTTGTCACTTATACAGAACCTAATTGGCTCTTTAACGGCCTCTCTGAGCATATCCTTTTCTGTAATATGACCGATTATGCCATCAGAATTTATTGTTTATAGACAAACTTACACAACAGTCAGGAGTCTAACCTTTTTATAGATGTCTTTTAAGAGACGTTTGCTTCCCCTTGCTCAGATACGTGCACATTGAGATGAATAATTGCAGACAATAACAGGTCCTGATCTTTTATGTACTGCAGCAGCTCTTATAGCTGCTGATTTCTTTTTTCCTTATAGGTTTCACAATAAAGGCCAGTGATGCAGCAGGCATCTGAAGTTAACTTAGCATATTGCAGAGCTAAGGGTTTAACCCCACTGAACTATTACTGCCATATGTTCCATTTCTTTCAGGGAATTTCCCAATGGGAAAGAACTCAGACAATGTGAAGAAAAAACATCCAATATCATTTGCCCTACAGCTTCTTACTGTTTATTTCTGGTGCTTTTCCCCTCCTCACATGATAATCGCCTTATTGTAGAGGAGCATGCTGCAGATGTGGGAGCGAAAGGGACTTGATTTAAGATCTGCAGCTTGAGAGTAAACTGAAATGCTTCTGAAAATGGTGGAATTGCAAAAAAAGCCGATTAGGATCCCCAAACACCAGCAAGACAGAGCAGAGCCTCAATAATCATACACAAAAACCCAATTCTAATAGTTTCCTCTCGTGTACCTCAGCATGTTGAGGACAGATTCTCAAGCTCTGGGTTTCCCCCAAGCAGGAGTTCCTGCACTCAACCCAATGCCAACATGACAGACACAGACATTTCAATCTTCTAGGGCAAGGCTGATGTTTGCAATGAGGGATCAGGGATCTGAGCCTTTACGTCTCAGTGAGGCACTCCCACACTGCAATTCACCTTTACACCCTATGGAAGTGGGTTAAAAACTCAGGCTTCTGTAATTCAGGATCAGTTTACCTGACACCAGCTGTGCCTGAGCTACTCACAAGCCCGTGTTCTAAACCATTTTCTTATCTATTTGCACATAATACAGAATCATGTTTCTAAGGTTTAGCTGGAAATCAATCAAATAAAAATGATGAAAAAAAGATTTGTAAAGGGATTGAGGAAAGGTTACTTTGAAATTACGTTTCAAATTCAGTTCTGAGAGGATTTGGTTATCAAATCCCAGACTCATAACTCACCCTCACGAAGCACACCATTCATTTCCTAGTCAAACAGGATTTGATTCATCTCATATGTAAGAAAAGGAACGGCACAATAACCCCTGCACAAAGCCTGACCCCAGCACAGGCAGTGTGGGGTGCTCCAGCTCTCTCCTGCCACAGCAGGCCCTGGCACAGGCTCTGGCCAGCACAAGGTGATCACTGACCTCTCCATCACTGTCAGATATAACAATGAATGCATCCACAAAGCTGCGCTTCTTCTTGGTGTTGGCTGAGTTCCTCTTATCTTCCTCCTCTTCCTCCCCATCCTGGCCTCGAGAGTCCAGGCCCTCTGTGGGCTTCTTCCTCCTCGGCATCCTTCACTCTGAAAGAGAGGGAAGGATTAAAAGCCATTTGTTTCCTTCTGATTTAGATTTCCCCTAACAGCCATCCTTTTTTTTTTTTTTTTGCTATTTTTAGTCAAAATGCTGCAGGCATCAGAACCTTTATTACAAAGCGTGGTGGATTTAGTGTTACTGGGAGCCACATGTACAAGTCACCACTCATCTAGTTAAGAATTCTTTATTACAGCTGATTGCTAAAAAGGGGTTTCAGGGGAACAGCAACACAGAAGCCACTCTGAATGCCCTCGCTCCAAAGTAATGAGGCTTTCCTCTTAAAGCTCATCAGCAAACTCCACTAAAGCATTGCTTCACAGCAGGTCTACTGCCCTTCAACACAACCCCAAATGTCCCCTCCTCAGCCCCACACCTTCATTATCCTGGTGCAGAACAAACCAGGCTGTGGCTGCGGATCAAGCTGGAATTTGTGTGCCAGAACAAGAAGCCACCACAGCAGAGCCATTTGTCAGCTTTTATACTCAACAAAACAAGGGGGAAAGGCACGTTCTTCAAAGGAAGCTGTTTTGCTGTCAGCACAGCAGCTCAGAGGAAGGCTGCATCAGCACTACAAAAAGGGAAAATGCAGGCAATGGCAGTAGGCAGGCTGGAAACAAAACAAAAGGTTTATGTTGCAGCCTGGATTTCTCAATGAGCATCAGGCTCCGGAAGTCCTCTGTGCAGACATGCCCAAACCATTTGTATTAGAGAAGGCACTTGACAAGCAGCGAGGAACCTGCTGAGCATTATTAGTGCAAACCTGAGTGCTCTATGAGCAGCACAATTGAGGGCAGATGCCCACACAATGCAAGCTAGCACTTCAGCGTCTCCTTTCCTTGCCAGCCCAGACTGTTGGAGAGAGATGCACAGCAAGTGTTAGCTGCTGTGATCAAAAGGACTCAGACGAGAGGATCAGGAAGAGATCTCGCTGAAGGAGAGCAGGGGGACGGCACACACAGTTAAACCACCCTTTCCCTTCTGTGTTTGCTGTTCGCCAAACAACCCGACAACAACATTTGGCGCTTCCTGAACTGTGATGTAGAAGAGGCTCACAAAGCAGGCTGAGCACGATCAGCTCTGTTGAAGTTAGAATACAACATGTGCAGAGTGGTTAAGCAACAAGCCCCTCGTGTTACACACCAGAGAACAGCAGAGCTGGAAATGTAAGTCAACTTGGCTGGCTCCCAGACCAGTGTCCTTCCACAGGATCATTCTGCCTTCAAGATCACTGAAATAGCTTAAATGTGCTGCTTAAATCTAAAATAAGAGTAGGAGAAGATACAAAAAGGACCCTAGGTTACCCAATATAGAGCCAAACCGTTCTCTGTAACACCACAAAATTGCAAACAGCCACTTTCTGTAGAAATGATAATGGAGAAGCTCAGAATCCCCATCGGCGCCAGGAACAGCAGTGCACTGCTCCACCTACAGTCCGCGGCAGCAAGGTGAGGCTGAGAGAGGAATAACACGCGTTCCCTCCCTATCTGCAGCCTCCAGAAGCTCTTGTAGCCTCTCAGCCTCCCTTCCTCTGCAAACCCATGCCTAGAGACAAAAGATGATTATCCTGGTGAGTCACGATCTGCACTGAAGGTTTGCTGAGCCCTCTGAAGATGGAACACTGTGCAAATGGCATGCAAAGCACCAGAAACGACTGCAAGGACCGCTGCAGTCCACAAACGTTTCTCTGTTTAGGAAAGGCAAACAAAAACAAGTGCTGCTTTCGAAAGAACAATGGCTCTTGCGAAACAAAGCTGTTCTGCTCCAGCCGAGCGCAACTCGGGTCCTGTTGGAATATCCTCATTACACTTCATCCATTTTTTATCTTTTGCTCCAAATGGCCTCTTTGCCCTCTGCCCAGAAAGATGAGCCGAGCCTCACCCCCCCGCTGCTGAGACCTGCCCCACGGAGGGCGTCTGTGGCGGTGGGGAGCACTCCTTTATCAGAAGGAAACCACTTACAGACGGTTTTGCACAGTGATGGGGAGCGAGGCGTGTGCCTCCAGTGCACGAGTCCACACAGGCTCACCCTGGTTTTGAAGAGCCAGCCTGGAAACCTCTTCACCACCAAAACAAAAGCATGTGCCATGCTGCCTTGTTTTTAAAATCCATGCTGGTATCACCAGCTCTCCTCTGACTCCACGATGCATCTTCTGCTTGATGCACTGTGCTAAATAAGAGATCACTGAGAAATATCAGCTGGAGTTTTGATGAGTCACCTACCTTCAACATTTAAAGGGAAGGGAGGAAAAAAAAGGAGATGTAACCACACAACTCCCACAGCGCTGCTGAAAATGAAGGGACTTGTGGCAAAGAGTCTCTGTAAATGTAACTAAGGGAACAAGACAAATAAGAGATCACCTGTAGCTGCGCTAGTCTGAGGCTATGAGTAGGAGAGCAAGATAATAGCTTTTTATTAGACAAGCTGGTACAGCTGAGGGAAGAAAACATGCATCAGAGCACACACACACACACCCCCCTTCAGGTAGGGAAGTTAAGCTGTATGTTGCTTTTAGCACTCTGGGAAAGGACAGTTGCTTGTACCCAAGGTGATGACACCTGCTTTCAGGCTCAGTAAAACCAGACTGAATTATCTAAAACTACCTTTGCAGCTTTGTTCACAAAATCGTTTTCCAGTTATCCAGGTTTTTTCCAACTCTGAGTTTAACAGAATGTCTTTGTAAACGCTGACAGCAAAGGTGACCTCCTGACAAGGAACTCGCACATGCCACGCTTCTCCAGTCACATTTTTAGGGATATCCTTGAAGATCCCCAACTTGTGATTATTTGTCATTTTCCCCTCTCATCTATCATTTTGATGAATCAGAAAGCAATTACCGACAGAATAATTCTAAATCTTGACACTGCAGCTACAGACCTGCCAAGCTGTGACAGCTTGAAAAATGCTTGAAAATGAAGCCAAAAATGAATGACTCTCATCCCCGGATGAGTTTCTGAGCCGTTGGAGACACAGGCTGTCGCTTTGTAAACAACTCCCCCCACCTCAGGAAGAGGAGGCTCCATGCTCAGGCAGGTCAGCACCACATGCCTCAATTCAAATATCATCCCTGGACCCCCAGCTCGACCCATCACGCAGCACCCAGCTGATGCTCTGCAACCAGCAAGATATAAGGGCTCAATGCGCCTGGGGGAGAGGATTTCTTTACAGGATTTATCCCTTTATAGAGCTCGGTCTTCACAAGAAGGGACTACAAAGGCCACACGGGTCCATCTGCAAATGCCACTGAGCTCTCGGGAGATCCAAACTGTTCCACTGCCCAAAGCAAATCCTGCACACAGCACCTCTCCCTCCTCCAAGGACAGGTCCTGCATGGCAGGGGGAGAGCAACCCTCTCCCTAGCACCCACCTGAGGTCCTCAAGTCCCCAGCCTGCTGCTTTGGGGCATGGAGGGCTCTGCACGGAGGCTGACAAGGACAGGGTCGGGGCTACTCAACAAGCATCACCCTGGGGAGGAAGCATGGGGGATCCCAGACGGGATGAGGGGTCAGTTCGGGAGGCGGGGATCAGCCACAAGGAGCGCGCTGGGGCTACCCCAGGAGGGGCAGGAAGCCGGCACAGGGCTGAGCCTGGGAGATGCCGCAGGGGATGGGGCCAGGGCAGAGCCGGAGGGTCGGGTTTGGGGAGCCCTCCCGAGGGTAGCGCCCCATGAGGGGTCCCAGAGTGTCCCCAGAGGAAGGGGCGCAGTACCAGGGACCCAGGGCAAAGGACTGGGAGCAGCCCCCGAGGGGAATGATACCGGGTGTCCCCTCAAGGGAAAGCCTGGCGCTGGTGGCCGGCCCCCGATCACCGGGACAGACCATGGGCATGCCTCGGGGGTCAGACCTGGAGCAGCGCCAGGGGAAGGGGGCAGGGAACGGCCTCGGGGGAAGAGAAGGCCCCGAGAGGGGAAAGGGGATCGGTGCCCGGCCGCGGGAGCCCCGCGGCGGATGGGCCCCAGGCGAGCCTCGGGGCAGCGGGCCCGGCGCAGAGCGGCAGGCCCCGCAGGGCACAGGTACTCACCGGGACCGGGCCTCCCGCGGGCCGGCGCCCAGCCCTCGCCGGGACACCCCACCGCGCCGGCCCCGGTCGGCGGGTCCCTCACCCGAGCTCAAGTTGGCGGCGGAGGCCTCATTGCCCTCACCCAATATGGCAGCGGCAGCTTCGCGCTACGTCACGTGGCCGTCGCGGCGGTGAAGTGAGAGCCGCCATGCCGCTGGCGGGCAAGTGGTGGGCCCGGCGTGGAGGGGGACCGCGGGTCCCGGGCCCGCGTCCCGGGGTGCGCCGGAAGGTGCCGGCACTGCCGCCGTTTCCTCATCCCGGTACCGGGTGCCGCAGACAGGGCGGTGGGCGCTGGTTTCCAGGGAGGAGGCCAGCGCGGTGGGGAGGAGCACCTTCGACCCTCTACCTGCGAAACCTGGGTGCCTCAAAACCCACCGTCACCGCAGCAACCGGCTGCTCCGCTGACCCGCCCGCACAGGCGGGGAGCCGCCGGTCCCCGGCAAGCTGCCCACAACCAACATGGCCACCACCGCCTCCCTCCACGGTCTCGCGGGAGGGCCCCTTACTGTTGCTAAGCGGAGGGAGCGGGCGGTTCTCGCGAGAGCTGCAGGAGGCGGTGGCGGCGGCGATGGCGGACGGGGCGGGTAGCAACGGGGACGCCGCGGGGCTGCCGGTGGGCAAGGAGGCGGGTGAGGAGCCGGGGAACGAGGCGGTGGGGTTGGAAGTGTGCGGCCTGCCCGGGCCGCTGACCCCCTGGCTGTGCGTGGTGTCTGTGTGTGTGTCCCGCAGTGGAGCGCCTGATCCGGGAGAACGGGCACATCTTCACGGAGGCGCAGTGCAAGGTGTGCAGCGCGCTGCTCATCTCCGAGTCCCAGAGGCTGGCTCACTACCAGGTAGGGAGCGGGGGCCGCCGCCCGCCGCCGCCGGGCACCGCGGGGCGCTGAGCAGCGGGCGGGCCGGTCTCTGTCTGCTTTCCGCAGAGCAAGAAGCACGCCAACAAGGTGAGGCGGTACCTGTCCATCCACGGCGGGGAGGAGCGCGGCCCCGGGAAGAAGATGAAGCTGGATGCGAAGCAGGTGAGGGGGTAGAGCTGAAATACGTGGGACCTGCTGGGCTAGAGGCTGTTATACGGCCCCAGCACTTTTATAGGGTAGATTGAGATGAGCTCTTAGGCACAAGCTCCTCCCTGTGAGGGTGCTGAGGCGCTGGCACAGGGTGCCCAGAGAAGCTGTGGCTGCCCCATCCCTGGCAGTGTTCAAGGCCAGGTTGGATGCAGGGGTTGGAGCAGCCTGCTCTAGTGGAAGGTGTCCCTGCCCATGGCAGGGGGGCTAGAACTGGGTGAGCTTTAAGGTACTTTCCAACCCAAACCATCTTATGAGTATGAAAACACTCTTGGAAAGGAAACTGTGATAAGTGCAGAGCTTGATGGTAGGTGTGTTGCTGGGCCTTGTCCTAGCAAGCACAGTTCCTGCTGCCCTTCCCATTTCAGTAGCCTCTGTGAGTATGTCTTCCCCAGTTAAACAAACACATGTTGCCTTTTATTGATAGGCTTGCTCAAAAGGGCAGGGAAGAGCTGAATGGGAGCAACAGCTTGTCAGGAGTGTCATTGCATAACCTTTACTGCCATGAGAGCGTGTTGGGTTGACCATCTACTGGGACTCTCATTCCTGAGCGATCTGGTTTATACTTATGTAGGTTTCCTTGGCCTGTAGCTGGAGCCTGTTGGTCAGTAAAGGCACCACGTTCCACTCGGCCATCTGTCTGCCCCGTGACTCACTTGGGAAACTGATTCTTCTTCTATGATTGCTTCAGCTTTAATCCCTAACTCCCCAACATTTGCAGGCGGGGGGGGGGTGTGTGTGGTGTGTGTGGAATAAAAGCAGATGCCTTCTCACATAGTGTTAGGCTTAGAAATGACTGCTGCCGCCTGCTCTGTCGGCGTCGTGTTGCAGATGACCCAGCTGATAGCGGTGTTTGCGTTGCTCAGTTCACACCTCACAGAGTAAAAGGCTGCCTGTTCCAATTCTAGCAGCCACAAACTTAACCTTATCTTTAATCCATCCTGTTCCATCGCCCTTCTTTAACTTAACATGGGTGTCTCCAATTACTTTGTTTATTTAGACCCCCAAACCTTAGTGTTTCTTCTTAGCACAAGAAGGTTGGATGAGGTGACCTGCAGAGATCCCTCCCAGCCTCAGCCCCTCCACGGTTCTGTGTGCACAGGATAGCAAGCAAGAAGGCAGCAACGGGGAAGACAGGAACAAGTGTTGTCCCATCTGCAACATGACCTTCTCCTCACCAGCAGTGGCAACATCTCATTACTTGGGCAAGACTCATGCCAAGAACATGAAGCAGCAGTCCCCCAGACTGGAAGGTATGACTGTCTGCAGCATCTGCAGATTGTAATGAGAGGCTGTTCAAGCCATATAAAAGTCAAGAGGCTCATTGGTCCCCAAGTGTAAGCTCTTGTGAGGATGTGTGCACTCTTTACTGTGAAGCAGAGTAAGCCAGCAATACACTTCCAGAAACTTGGCCTCTCAGAAGCCTGCTTGGTGGGCTGGTGTTGGCAGAACCTTGTGTGTTGTTTTGTGTTGCTTTGTTGAGGAGAAATGCAGCTTGTGGCAGCCTTGTACCCATCCCTGTGTGCAGAAATGTTTGTCACAGGTTACAGTGCTCACTAAGAGCTTACAGGGACTGAAGTGATGGGTGAAACTTGGATACAGCAAATTCATCAGAGCTGATCAGCTACAAAGATGGAGCCTCTGGAGTTCAAGAACTTGTGAGCTGCAGATAGCTGGGGACTGGGAGAGTGTAACTGGGAAACATCAGTATGCGCTTGTCCTGACCTTGTGTTTTTCCCACGGCACCTACCACCGGCTGCTGTCGTGATGTGAGACAGTCCAGGCAGACCTCGGGTCTGACCCGGTGCAGCTGCCTGTGTGTCTCACACAGAAGAGCCCAGAGGATGGGGGGGAGACCAGCTGTCCAGGGCAGGAAGTCAGCCAAGAGCTTGGGGTGCTGTACCTGGTCAGGATGGAGGAAGAGCACAGCCTTTGAGTGCACCTGAGGGTAGCAGCTTGTGCTAGCTCCGAGCTGGGATCTTCAGGCAGAGGCTGTGCCAGGGTGTCTTCATGGCTTTGCTTTGTGTTGCACAGCAAAGCCACCTCTGGGGTCAGGGTGGCCCATGGGAATGAGCCAAGCCTTCAGGAAGGGGAGGATGTACATGATCAGTCTGCTGCGTACCTTCCATTTAGGCGTGAGAGGAGCTCTCTGAGCCTTAGAAGGCTCCTTGCTCAGGTCTTTGTCACCTCGTAATGAGAGGGTGCAGGTTTCTCCATCAGAAGGGCCGGTTCTCAATGTCAGACCTGGCCCATTCATGCTATTTCTCAGGCAAGACTCCTCGTGGTTCAGGATCAAGTCCTGCAGCTGCACCATGTTTCCCAAAACATTCTTGTTTTTGCTGCACAGGGACTGGTACCCCTATTCTAGCTGGGTGGTGGTAAGAGAAGGTGGAAGCTCCTCCATATCCAGGGTTTCTTGAATATAGCCATGCTTGTGTTAAGGAGAAATAGGCAAATCCGTTGGGGGTTTTTTAACCCTAGAAGTTTTCCTGGCCTACTCTAGTCTTACAGCACACCATTCAGTTTTGCAATGTTAAGGGAAGAGGTGGGAGCAATGTGAATTTATCTAGATGTCTTACATTCTCTGTCTGGGTTTGGGTTTTAGGTGCAGTGGGCTATTTTTTTTAATGTGGGTTTTAGGGAAATAATGGGACTGTTCTTTACCTCTGAGTTCTGTGACTGACCAGGAGTTTGGATTCACCCTACAGAAGCGGTGCCCCCACTGAAACATCCTGCGGCACTCCCCACCTCTGCTGTGTCTTCTAATGAAGACAACAAGGACATTACTGACCCAGACAAGTTCTGCAGCCTCTGCCACGCCACTTTCAACAACCCCCTTATGGCAAAACAGCATTATGTAGGCAAGAAGCACAGAAAGCAAGAGACCAAACACAAGCTGATGGCACACTATGGCCGAACCCCTGATGCACCCGCATCGTCCTTCATGGGTGAGTTCTCAGCAGGCAGGGAATAAATAGCTGAATAGCTGGAGAGCAGCAGTATGTGTCTGACAGGTCTTTGGATGAGAGTCTATGTGGAGGGAGCAGGGGAGAATTGCTTATGATGAGGATCTTGATTATATGCCCTAAGATTGATTTGGTTGATGTTCTAACCCCCTGGCAGCAGAAGAGGTTTTAGATTGTAGCTACTTGTGACAAGCTTTGCGCTGTATTTTGCAATGTTGTCTAATTAGGAACGTGTCCTTTTTGGTTTTTGTCCGGATAATCCAGGGATTTTGGACAGTGCTGTTTCCAGTTAGGTGATTGCATCCAAAATGGAGAGATAAAAGTGGCATTTGATGCTTCAAAAAACATCTTTGGAGGGGACTTACCAAAGATGGAAGGAATAGGTTTAACTGCACCTGCTGCTTCAAAGCACATGAAAGCCAGAGAGATTTCTCCCTGGATGCTTTTCTGTCTCTGTGTGGGCACTTCATGTGATGAACTAATGCAACTCTCTCTGCAGCAAGCAGGAATGTGGGGGGAAAAAATAAAAAAGAGCTATTAAGGAGGAACTTTAGGCAGATAGCTAAAACTCATTTGGTTTATGATCTGCTGCTTATGAGCACTTCTACACAATGAAGGCCCTTAGAGTCCAGTAAAAGCATTAGGAGCTCACAGTAAACTCCCTTGTTCCTCCCAGCAGCCTTCTGTTGGGCCAAGAAGTCCAGTACCTGCTGGAGGCTTGAAGTAAATAATAAGCAGACAAATCATCTTTAAATCTTCTTTGAGGGCTTTGTTCTCTGTTGTAAAAACCCACACAAGCAGAAGATTAATTATTCTAATTCTTTTCAGGCCACCTTTAGATACCAGTAGCACTTATGAGAAATGAGGCTCAATTATCCAAGTAATATTCCTTCCCACCTCCTGTAGTCATGTGGGAGATGGAAGGTGCTCGCTCTCCAGCAGTACCCATCTGCTCTTCACCTAATTAGTGAGCTCTGATGAATGGTTCCAATCAGTGAGAGTCAGGCGCTGACAGTGGCAGAGCCACAGCCCAGGCAGGTGGGCAGTGTCCTCACCTGCCTG